GATGTGAACCGCAAAACAAGAAGCCTTAACAGATTACGGGAGCTATTTTTGGGGACGTTAATTCATTTAATTCAAAGCTTGTAAAACTGTAACATTTACTTTTGCCCCTAGCCTATTCTACTGATCATAAGCTTTCGTTTAATGTATAATTCATTGCCATAGCATTTTCTGTTCTAAAGCTATTGTCATTTAAACGTAATCTTTTGTACCCTATTTTCTGCTATAATCCCCCAGTTTTGGACATAATTGTATTTTTCTAATTATTCTACGTTGTGGTCAGCTTAGTCATCTATTTATTCATGTAACTTTTCACCCTAATCTAAAAATTGGGAATTGGAGTGCTAGATCGGGTTCGAGTAAAGTGATTAGTGTTCCAGCTGTCTTTGTGAACAAGAACACGAGTGAGGACAATCGAATGCATTTAAGCACAAAATTACAGACTATCTCACTAAAATCTGACAACCATTCATACAGTAAACAGTTAATTTGCAAACTATCAATCAATTGTTTCAAACTTGAACGTTCCTTCTGCAAATATCAGTCCATCATTTCCAATTATTATTGTGTACGCATTTTTATACCAATTCCGTTTCGTTCCCGTTCTTTCTATTTCGATCTTCTACTGAAATACATTCAACGCCTGACCATCACTATATACTACTTATGCGGATATAAGTAACCGACACCATACTAAAACTAATCTAACGAGTTATTAAAAACCATACATTGATAGTACTCCACCTCATGACCAAATAAGTACAAATTATTTTTTTGGGCCAGTTTAAAATCTAAATAATAATCTGTTATTTCGAGATGACCTTAACAGTCATCAGTCATTATACTTTTCAAAGTTGTTTTATATTCCGGTAATCCTGTTTACATGCAGAGTAGATGTTTTTACCCATTGTTTTCCACTACAGATCTTACTGATATGAGACGAGTCTTGGAAAGTAAAAGACTATTAGTAATAGAAGATTAATCCGTTTTTAGGACACATCGGATGCTGGACACCTGTCGTCATACACAAGCATTAGGCTTTAGAACAAAAGCGATGGTAGCTTGGTCTAAAACCAATGATCGTCATATATCAGCTGGTCAGATCAACTACAATTAGCTCGTATTATTAAGTAACCCCTGTATATATGCATTTTATTGAACCTTGATTAGGCGAGTAAGATTTTTTTAATGCATCTAATTACTTAAGATTATACGTTAGATTTATCAATGATAACAAGGTGAACTAGTTTTATTCTGGTAAAATGTTTTGATTAGTGAAACATCAATAAAATTACTGACTGTTAACATTGTTATATCGACTGAGTGCGTGCCCTGTTTAATATATGAAGTTATAAGACCGCCAATTGGAGAGCAGTAAATTTATTGATCGCCCAATGATACACAAAAGCCATATGAGCAGTCTTGAGCACTTATCAGTTCTGCTTTCTGCCTAGCCTAGTCGAAAATTAAAGTCAATGCAGTGAGATTTGTAATGTTTGACTACCGAACATATTTTTGTGAAAAGCTAAACAACAACTGGCAATTCGTCCAAACAACCTTCTAATCCTTATAGAGCCATTGTATGAATGCAGCTTCCTTTACTAACAAATGTAGGATCGTAGCTTAGAATGAGAAGTTACTGTCCTTATTTAACTAAATTTATAGTCCACTCGTTTCTAAAAAGCAATTTCATCTCTTAAATGAATGGCTCATAAACAATTAAATCACGATATATGGATCTTACATCTCAACAGTAAACACAGAAGTTCCTATGCAAATTTATTTATTTATTTAAACACATAAATATTGGTGCAAAGGGGCACCAAATACATATGCGCCACACAAATCTCATTTGATTTGTGTGAGGACTGTGATACTGCCCAGGTGCCCAAACCGAAACAGGTAGTTTTCTTAAGGGACCACAACCGGAGACTTCGACCTAAAGGTCTGATCCACAAGGCAGTGGAGCACTCTGAGGAGATGCAATCATATGGTAGCTGGTGGTCAACGATTGATTCATACACCATTTGTTCCTTCAGGATACTGGAGTCCATGTGTACCATTGGTTTGGAATGAGGGTTTACCAACTCCTCTAGATGGACTTTCCTTGTCCACCAACCCGGTTAAAGTGCCGGACATTCTCTTTTTGTCCTCTCAATTTCGTAAACATTAACCCCGCGCTGAGAGAAGGCAGTGAGTAGGACTTCTATGGTAGAGGCTATATACGCGTGTCCATGTGAGAGCATTTGGAGAGGGCATTTGAGGGCTTATTTAAAGGGAGGTCTGTGAGACCTATGCAAATTAGTTTCATCAATAAACTGTTATTTTTCGCATGAGATATCCCGTTTTTTTCTTTACATTTAAAATAACTGCACAAATTAAGTATTCTTGGAAGTAATTTCAACATTTTCAATTTCTTTACGAAGTGATTTCAACTTAAGTTGGCTTTCTTTTCTAAGCATATATATCCACTTTCATAAACTCAGTTCTTTTATTTATTTTACTGAACTTTGGTGGAGCATATTTTGCCAACAACCTACAACAAACTGAAAAATGGTCGTGGTAAATGTAACTTCTAGCCGGTCAGAATGTTGGTGGCGTAAATATCTTATTCCACGAAAACCTCAGAATGGCTATAATTTGGGTCTAGAAGTTCGGGCTAGAATTAAGAATAAGTGTTAGAGTGATCAACCCGGGTTGAAACTCAAAGTTATGGGTGAGTGTTAAAAGTTTGTCAGTGTTTCGGATAGAGGGATTTGGTTAGGAATGTGGTTGAAAAAATAATGCGCAACCATATGGATGAATACTTATGTGGTCAGGTCTTTGATGCTATTAAAAACCCGTTTTGTCATTAAATTTTTTTTACACAGGAATGAAATGATACAAAATAAATTGTACCAGAAAAAAAGGGGCTGGGAAAATCACTAGAGTTAAAAGAATAACAGATTGGTGCTTTGAACTCATTAGAAATTTCAAGCCAGTGTTTATCAAGTAACCGCTTAAAAACAAGTCTTCCAGAGGAATAAAGTCTCTTAGTGGGTATGTTGCTACTATAACAAATAATTATGTCCATTTTTATCTCTGGAGGAACAACACTAAAGCGGTCATAATACCTGACTCTCAACATCTGAGTAGCAGGTTCAAACTCTACTCTATTGATTCAATCATCTGAGTAGTGTCACTACGCCTAGACAAACCGTAACTTTAAACAGAATATGCAAAATCGCTGTTGACATATTAGCTGACGTAAGTATTTAAATTGGGTCAACTTAAGAACTTTAAACAAAACATAATTTAAATTTAGCACAAATATGTATGTTTGTAGGAATAAAGTGAAAAAACCTGGTAAACACCCAATCATTTGACAATGGGGCCGAACTAAGCTGTTTAAGGAAACTAAGGGAACAAAACATTTGTTGACTTAATTTGTTTTGCCTAGAAAAAATTCATTCATCTCACTATTTCTGATCACATAATATATTTACGTACTGATTTTCTTGATATTTTGTGGATTTTTTTATTAAAATGCACGAATATTGGAAAGTCATTTTATGCAAACTTGTGAACTTGAACAGACAACGGTGGTTTAAAGACAATAGTGGGATTTAATGAAGTTCATATATCTGTCACTCAAATAAGTTTCACAGTTAAGTTTAAACTACCGTGCATGTTTCAGTTGGCACGATTCGATAATTTAGTCAACATATCTTTGCAGTACGAAATTGTGGTGAAATTTAAAGTGATCAAGGCCATAATCTACAATTCTAACGCATATCTCAGACTGATTAGTGAATCGAGCAAACCAGCATTACTCCTGTTTTTGAGTTAAAGTGAGGTCATACAAGTATCTAAGCATAAAAGCAATAACATCCAAGATGAAAAACTAGGGATTCGAAAAAAGTAAGACGAATACATTATTAGTAACAATCGGTAGTTTACAAAAAAGGAGAAGGAGTCCAAAATACTTCGACCACTTTTAAAATAACATGAGACATTTGATGAGTTTTATTACGTCGTGGTAGAAAAATGAAATAAGAAATTAAATCATCGATAAACAGCTGGCTTCTGGAAAATATAACAAACACTATTTTATTTTTTATGGGGTTATTTTGGAGACCTAAATCAGATAACATTTATTTTAAATGATTACAAAATTTATAAATTTTAACTTATCGGAAGAATTAAGGATCAAATAGATGGTTTCACATGTTGAATAAAAGTTCAAATCTTCAGTTGACTCGTCTAGGGGAAAAATTAAACGCTCACAAAATGGTTAATACAGGCCATCAACCTTCCGTCCCTAATAGATGGATCACATAACTGTTAGGAAGATATATACGTATGAAAACATCACCTAACGATCATGTAGATAGCTTGTATTTAGACAAGCCTTTGTACTACCTCAAACCCACGATAGACATGTAGTGACTTACTTTTATGAAGATAACGCGATCAGCATAATGTAAACAATTATTATTGTAAGTAACCGTATCAGTGATTGTACTACTGTACCTGTTTGCTTAAGTGTACCAAAAAACACTCTTACATTGTTTTGTGACATTGCAATAACTCTCGTCCGCTCAGTAGTCTCGCTCGTGGATTTTAACATGATCTCGATATTGTTTCAATACCCAGAGATCGCTAAGAAATACATATTACTACCACCTTCAACTGCCTTCTAATATTTGGCTTTCGGAGGGGTCTAACTTAACCACTAGCACGTAGTTTTCTTGTAGTGGTGATTATATTAAACCGTGACTCGACACTATTACAGACCAAACTAGCTAAATATGGTTTTGAACGCGCACAACACTTTGAGTATTAAGCAAAGAAATTGTTTTTCTAGAGAGGTCACACTTTTGTTGTACAAAATCATTACATAAGTCTAAAATGCTATGAAATAGAGGTTTCCAGCTAAATGTGATTATAGGGTACAATTATTATTTCATATAAGTCATATAGGTCCCCAAAATGTGATCGAATCAAATAATAGACCGACTAACCTCTCCAACTGGAAATGGAACTTTCTTCAAATTCATCCATTTTCCCACTGTCAGGAGGATATAAAGTGACTAAAACTTTGATGAAGTCAGTTATCGTTAGAATTCCTGTATAGCTCTGTTTGGATGAATCCCAAAGTATAGCAGCTCGAACATTGTTATATATGAGTGCATAAAACGATTTCTTGATCTGAATATTCAAGAAATTAGGTTGACTTGTGCATTGAACCACTTACACTAAGTTCTGTATCTAGAACAACAAGTTTGGCGCTTTCAGGGAGTAAATCATAGCAAGTGTGGTATTTGAGGAATACGTAGTAACTGCTTCTTTCAGATTCAGAACTACCTAGAGGTTCAACTGTTAACATAGAATTGGGACGCCCATCCTGAAAATACCAGATGGTATACATGCCAGTTATTTGACTACCAACCTGATCGTAAAATACCAGTGAGTCTATATCGTCCGATTTATTTCTCCTAATAAAGTTATTTAATTCCTCCAGTTTTTCCCCAGAGCGCGTAAGCGTATTCAGGCATTCCATTTATGCGCCGATATTCGGTAACCTTGCTTCAGTTTCACTGAATGATTGTCGATATAAAGGTCTTTTAATCGATGTTCAGGTAACGAAAAAAGTTTACTCATCAGTTATTTTTTTCGAATGGTGAAAAAATACTTCTGAATAAGATTTTAGATTTAAGATTATGATGAGCCTTACATAATGATGACGGAACAGTAGAGAGAGACTCACATTTTTATGGTGAATATATGAAGTTACAGTTACATGGAGAAAATTTCTGACTTATTGCTGTAGTGTTCCAATTGTCTGACTATCATTCCTTCACTTTCAAGCGACTCCCTTTTATTCTCGAAAAAGTAGAAATACTAGTACCAACTAAACATATATGGCTCAAGAGAGATATCTTCATAATTACTATAGTTCAAATAATCTTGAGTAAGAATTTCTTAGTGATTAACTTTACATGATTCCAAAACGGATTCATTGTTCACCTTCGTTGCAATACATATATAATTAAGTTCAAGTGTTACATTTTCAAATTTTCATGCATATTTTTATGTGTTCTGCCAACATAATATTTTCGTTCCTATCAGTCCTATGGAATATTATGAACAGTCCAAAAATGTTGTCTTTGTAGATGACATGTTTGAAGCATTGACTATTCTCCGATTGCAACAGTTTCCCTGCCTTCATTATTCAGATTTTGACTTCGGTTTCTGCCTGCTTATTGACTTTATCTGACGCGCATATATTCACTGTGGCAAGCTAAGGAAACAGAACGATTTGTATATTTGTGACGTTTGAATGAACCAAAGATTTTTTTGTATTGATGACTGTCTTGATTTTGAATTCCAAATACAGTACATTCGTTCGTGCTCATCTAATACTGCTTGATTGAATTGCACTATTGCTGGGATTACTAGTTCATGCCATAATTTAAATACTTCTAATTATCACAAGGTGTAGGAATCTGGTTTCTGTCAATTAGTTTTTCAGTTTCCTAGACTTCATGCAATTGATCTGTAGTAACATTCTTGTTGTCCGAATCACCTGGCAAATTATTGTCGTCGGCTGTTGTTGCTTTCGAAATGAAGCTTATAGTCCGTCAAATTTAGTTGTAGCGTCTGCTAGAAATGCGCATGGTCTCCTCACCCCATATAAAAACTTGGTTGCTTTATTCGGGATTTCAGTAATGACAGATGACATTTCTGTGTTCCGTGGTCGTTACAAATATTCTTTTGGAATTAAGCCACTAATTCACGATTCTACTGAATACATTGAGTTTGGTTAATAGGCTCAACAATATCGGAATCCATCAAAACACGTGTAAATATGGCTGCTGATTGAATGAGTAATACTGATTGTATCGGTGTCAATTCTGACTGATTTGATATTTCTCATGGCATTAGTGGTATTACTACTTGATTGAGCTCGTCAATCAGCTTGAATAGACCAAGATTTAGGCTTCAACGACTTAGTCCTAAACGTTTTAGTCGCTGTCCTAATGATAATTCCGGTTTATCCCGCTATTAGTAGTGTCATTATTAAACTATGGATTATTAGGTGAAATAGAGGTCATAAATCTTGTAAGACAGTAACCATTCTAAATGCATGTGAAATCAAATGTTTTGAATGCCCAAAACCTTCTGTGAGTCATACTGAGCCAAGAAAGATGCTAAAACAAAGAGTTGGCAAACCGCTTACGATTGCTAATGGAGTAGTTGAAGTGATGAAGGACAATTGTTGCCGAATAAAAGTGAAACTTAAAGTGATTGTGTTATTCCAGGGTAGCTTATTTGCATATGGGAACAAGTTGGTGTCTATGAATATGGTTGACAGAAACTTCTCTCCGGCATTTTCAAATTAAAGGTGCACTTGATATGGCTCTTTGACACATGGAATCATCTGCCAACCATCGAATCTGCCTTTAAGAGTTCACTGTTGGAAACTCTTTTATTTGTCATTGCAAAATGTTCAGCAACCCAGTACAATTGATATTCCGTTTATTAACTAGCATGTCATAATATAATAATCAACCTGATAAAGTGGGATTAGACCTAATGAACTGGAAAAGTTATATGAATCAAGATAAAATCCCCAAGATTTGAAAAAAGAGAACAGTCCGACCAAAGAGGAGTGTCAGATCAATTATAAGTTCATAAGATAAGACCAGTTTACTGGTGACATACTTTTTGAAGCAATCTGACTACAGTTGTTCCAAGGGTAAAGAGGCAGAAATATGTAATAGAGTATTGAAATAATTCAGAACAGCAATATCACATATTCCTGAGCCTAATCAAAAGTAATGGCCCATGAGTAGCACGTTTAGTAAAATTATGGTGTTTATACAAACTAATGATTTCTTCGTTTTGATGACTGTCTTGATTTTGAATTACAATTGCAGTTCATTTGTTCGTGCTCGTCTAATACTGCTTGATCGGATCGCGTTATTACTGTGATTGCCAGATTATACTACAATTCAAATACTTCAAGTCACCACAAAAATCCTAGTAACATCTGAGCCCGTTTAAGCATGCGCTCGAATAAATTAACATGAATAAAAATTTGGTATACCAGTACATCGTCCATTTCAACATTCTACAACTTAACACTTTTAACCAAATTAACGAAATCAAGTCACCTCTTTCTAGTCTGTAAAGGTGTATAGTGAAGATTAAAAATATCCTACCTCAACAGTACAATTTTCAACAATCTCCAAAAGTGTGAAAATCTTATTCGGAGAGTCTGGATATTAAACGAAAGTTAGCCACGAGGTACAACATATATCAAGCATGACAAACATAAAGTTAGCATAAAATAGCTAAACAGGATATTGGGCTCCGAGGTTTCCTTTGCATATATTATTTATGGATTTTTCTGAGGTATCTGACATCGCATTGCTTATTGTGACATGGCTGGAAACGTTCATTGTGCCATTATCTCTTACATAAATTAACTATTTTAGGCCCTCTATTTTGACATATATTAACCAACAACTACACAAGCTCTCGGCTCTCTGGTTTTGACTTACATTGACGATGCAGAGATACGAAGAGTCAAGAAATATGAGGACTGATTTCAAGAAATCAGTGAATATCTGGGTTACTGTTAGAACGAATGAAGGACGGTTTCCAAATAAAATACTCCATGAGACTTAATCCCCGTTGTTTAATGTCAGTGAAGGAGAGCGAAGAGCCTCTTATTTCTACAAATACTGTCTGGCCAACATTTTCACATAGATTAGGCTTTGTTTGCTTCTAACAAAAGTTCAAGACAGCAATACAGTGCTGATGGATGGAGTAAAAGACCATGCTCTCTTGTCTTTGATCAGAGATTGAAATATGCTAACTTTTTAGTTGTCCCTGAAGCTGACCATGATTTCCAGAAATATTCATCTTCAGTTCACAATTTTGGAAGTTCACCGCAGGAGGCCCAAGGACGCACAACTTGTGGCCCTTAAGATTGAAATACAGGAACTCGGACTCCTGAGTTGTTAGCTTCAGTTGTTTCGCCTGAAGGGAGAAGAGATGCAAGTCAACAGTACGATTAGGAACATATTAGTTAACTTGAGCCACTTAAGTAAATTAATCGAACATGAAGTTAACCCGAGTGAACTGAAGCAAAAAAATCAGAACTAGTTACCGAATGGTGAATGTTCAAGTACGATCTCACCAGAGAAAAATAACTGAACACTTTTATTAGACAACTTAACAAATGCTTCTCCAATAAAATGTCCTAGAAGGAGTCCAGGTAGCTGTGTACGTATAAATAGGATCATCTAAGTCTCTTGAAGTAACAGGCGAACAAATGATTCAAGCCATCCATAGATATTTTGTCAGTTTTGTGCCCACAATTTTCAGGTGATTAAGGTCAACCGGACAGAGGGAGTGAGACATACTAGACAAATGGAAGTATATTTAACTGAAAAATGTCAATGTAGAACAACAAAAGGTAAAGGGAAAGAAATCAACTGGATCATACCAACTCATCAACAAGAAATCATATGTTAAGTGCATCAAAATTTTCAAACTGTGTTTGGTTTGTCATCTGAAATTGAAATGCAATTTTTTCACTAAAATGTCAACCTCAAACTTACCCCCGTAAAATAGGCTATATGCGGACCAGATATTGAAGCGTATGTTTTACTACATAAAGGTGATTCTGAAAAAATTGTGTCTCCTTGAAATTTGTTTACTAAGTCGTGGTGATGATTGAATATGTCAGTCGTCATGAAATGTTTAGTCCGTCCTTGTCTTGGATCACTAAGTCAGGTGTTCACTTGGAGTACACTCCCGAAGACACGCTTAAAAGTGGAATATTTGTGGGTGAAGAGAATGCTTCACCACTTGAAACTGTACCGATGTTAGTTTCGGAGTTTTGCAGCAATAACAGTGAAGTTAAGGTTTGAAATTGTTAATTTAGAAAACAAACGTTTTATTTCAGGTTCTTGGACCTCAATCGAACTCGGAAGGTATAATCTTTTCTTATATTGCAAATTTTGTAGATGACCACCCGACACCATTTAATATACACTTCTCGAACAAAACAGGTGATGTAAGTTGACTATAATTTGAGTATACCTAATAATTTTTAATAAAAGAATGCTGAGGGTGTTAAAGGAGTACCCAACATTACAAGTGGTTCTGAGGGAACGCTTTCAGTGGTAAGTAACTCCTATTTTATACTGTACTTAGATCTCATTCTGAATGTTGTATGAAGGTACGTTGATGTGGGCTGAACCGCATTATAATTTAAAGGACAGGTTTTCTGTTTGTATTTCCTGTTTGTCCGAGAATCAATGACAAACATAATAAATAGAAGTTAAAACGTTTTTCCCATTAGCGTCATGGAATCTAATTATTACTAAGTTTATGATCACATATATTGTTTTCCTACACTGTAATTTGAGTTAAAGTAAGGGGATCTTAATACTGTTTACCACTTCATTATATTAACAGGAAATAATGTCACTAAAAACTCAGTAAATATGGAATTGTAAATGGGACTTCAGCTGATGTTTCATCCTCTGAATTGTGCATGGTCGTGACCAGTTAAAATAATGCATAGCTAGGATACCTTTAAAGGAACTAGCCATATGAAGTTGACTCATTTACATGACTAACATTCAAAATAACTTCGGTGTTATTAAACGAATCTCTAAGATGATAAAGTGGAGATCCAAATATACGTTGCATCATTCAGGTTACCTACGGCTAATTTAGAGCGAGTTAGCAGGGTGTATGTCTCTCACAACCAATCCTATTTCATTCCCGAATATTTAAATGATATTGAACTAACTAGTCATATTTGTCTAATTCAGGGGTAGTCATTTGGATCCAAGTAGGTATGCAGTGCTGCTTTGGAATCCTAGTGATTCAAGTACTCTTGGTTTGGGTGGTTTTTTGCGTTAACTTAGTGAACAAATGTGGCTTTAAAAGCCTCACTTCTAACATTTTTGATAGGTCAGCTCCTAATAAATGTCAATGTATTTCATGTGTCCACTTTAGCAAGGGGAAAGATATTTGAGATAACCGTGATTTAAGAATTATCTATCTTTCACCTTTTATCCAGTGACTTAATGGCATCATAAAAATCCTAATGTCTCAAGGTACAACTCATGTGAAGTGGAGGCTCTAAACCATTGAGGAGTCTAATTACATCGGGAAACACCAGCTCAATCCTTCATAGTTGTCAGTGCTTTTCCAATTTTTATCGTTTCTTGGCGAAACCTATATTTCTATTATTGATAATTAATAACTGATTAAGAACCGCTTATAAAAAAGATTGAATTAGAGTTTCATGAATCTTAAAACTACTCATGAGTAAACATGTTCAAACCTTTGGGTTTATAAATTTTATCTTCAAATGGAAAATTTCAACAACAATTTCCGGAGCTGCTGCTAAAGTTATTAATTTCTGACTGTTCACTAGGACTGTGATGGTGAACCTTACAACACTGATGCGAAGAAACCGACTAAAAATCCCATATCTTCGAGAAAGCCGATCAGTTTCCTGAAGCGACATCAAGGCGTATCTGCTTGGTGTAGTAGACTAAAAAAGCAGGGATTACCAGTTACCGATCCAGCAGCAGAGTTGCTCAAGCGTCAGTGTACGGATTCATCGCAAACTTCAATTGTTCGGAAATCTGCATTGAAAAAACAGTCTGAGGTAAGTAGTTCTCCCAGTCTTTTACCCATTCTAATGATTTCAATATTTTCGGATTTTGAATATGGATTAACGTCTATATCATTCTTATTTATCACACTCAAACTTTTAAGATTATATATATATATATATATATATATATATGTTTGGAAACGTTCCTCGCGTTTTATTTGTGAAAAATACTTTGCTCACTACTCACCATACGATTATAGTCGTTTGACAAAATGTCTGAATATTAGATCGTTTGCTGATGTTATCCTCTCAGATTGTTTCCCCAAGCTTTGGAAAAAGTTGTTTATGCCAGGAGATTTTAAGCAAAAGTTGCAACATAAAGATGCACTAAATTGTAACTAGTATTTGTTCAACCCTGTGCTTGTGAAATAAGGCTATATCGAGGCAATACGCACAGTATATACATATGCCAATTAGAGACTGACCAGTTGCAGTCCTAAACATCAATGGGAAGATTTAAACAAGTAATACTAAGTGAATGTATACTTACTTTTGGTTCATAGTTCATAAATTTTTGTACAAAATTAATTAATCTCGTGTTTTTTGGGTGTGTTTGTGTTCATAACTCATGAAAAGCTGTCAAAATCAAACATACAACAAACCATCGTCAATAATGGTGTTTTAGTCCCACCTACTGTTGAAAATTCAAATATATCACAATATGATCAACCAGTGACTAAGATTAAATCTAGACATTCGAATCATACAACTACTATTCCCACATTAAATATGAAAGAAAATAAAACGGAACAATCGAATAAAGATGTTAACGATGAACCACATAGTAATAATTGTCTTGACGGAAACGATGATCACTGTCAGAATCCAATTCGATCACTAGTCGATTCGTCAAATTTACAAACACTATCAACTAATCATTTATCCATGGAATCCATTCATTCTAATTTGAATGATACAAATAAAGAAGCCATTGATTTAAAAGAATTTGAATTACTTGAAGAATTTGCTGAAACATCATCATTCTCCAATCTGAATACATCATATATTTCGAAACTATATAAAACCAATTCAATCTTACATAGAAATGGTAAACAAACGAAAGAAATGCTTCAAGCTGATCTGTCACCAACCATCTGTTGTAATTATAAAGAGTCAATAAAAATGGGGTAATTTATAAAATTTCATTATGTTGATATAGATTATTTATTTATTGTTCATAAAATCTAGTACAATAGGGTACCACACATGTGTCATGTAAATAAAACGATAAGAATGTGGGAAATAGAAAGGAAGGTTAGAAAGACTACTAAGGCGTTGTGATGGTTTGATAGTTGATAGACTAACACATCTGTCTTTAATACCATACTGCCATATCATGACCTAACCACCTCTTCGCATAGTATATCCAATCCCAAGGTTGGCAAGTAGTGGGCGGGATGGAAGCTACTGTGATCATATTCATATATTCTGTTTATGCTACTGAAGTCGGTTTTTCATGTTCATGATATGGAATAAACTGTCTTCAGTGTATTCGAATTAGTTGGACACACCTTGAGGAAATCACCTAATTGTGTCACAAGACAAGCCCTCACATGGAATCCTGAAGGTCAAAGGAGAAGCGGAAGACCAAAGAACACATTACGCCGAGAAATAGAGGTAGACATGAGAATAATGAACAAAAACTGGGTAGAACTAGAAAAGAAGGCCCAGGAGAGAGTGAGTTGGAGAATGCTGGTCGGCGGTCTATGCTCCATTGGGAATAACAGGCATAAGTAAGTAAGTGTATCCGAACACGTGTTACCGAACCTCTCCAAAGCCTGTGTTCGATTCCTGATGGAGGTCATAGGTGTACCCTTCTGAGGAGTCCCACACTATAAAGAGGCAGGAGTCCAGTACTTTCTGGCGTTCAGTGGTTGTCTGACTAAAATCAGTCCGTGATGCGAATTGTGAAATTCAAAAATCTACACAAACAACTTGAGGAATGATCGCATTCGTCGAAAATTAAAAAAATACTTTGTCCTCCTTTCTCTTCCCATTATTCCTTTGCTCTTATGTTTTAGGCAACCAAGTTCACATGCTCAAATCCATTCGAGAAACTTGGTCAAAGATGATATTTTAATTGGAGATAAAATCCATCGAAACGATACAGTAAATCATCTCATAAGTGAATCACATGATGCTAAAATAGCAAGTGATTTCAATTTGCCTAATAATAATAGTGAGGACTGTAATGTCGAAAGTATATTGGGTATCCCAGGTTCACTAGATAATCAATGTAAAGTAACGCGTTTTCATATAGTGAAATCACCATGTAATCAATCTCAATCATCATCAGTAACAAATAATCAACAATTGGAATTGTCTAACGAACATCAATTGTCTTCGATGAAACAATTCAGTTCTTCAACTCCTGATGAATATGATTTCGATGATTCACATTCATGGAGTTTCAGTACTTCAGATATAAATGATGCAAAATTGTTGACTGGATATAATTTGTCCGATGTATCACTTACTAATTGTGGTAAGTTCAATAATATTTAATATCTCCTTGTAACCAAGCTGGTTTCTTTACGCTAGTGTTTTGCTGTCATGGAACAGTCTTGGATGTTCGACAACATCCAATGTGGATAGTCGAGACACTCATCTCCTCTAGTTTTTAACAGCTGTATGGGGATTTGTATCGTTTACGTATATATGAATATGTGCCCCAGGAAAATGGAGTTGATGAAATCAGCAGCTATCATTTTATCGGGCAGTTGTTGGTTATAATAATAGGATTGAAAATAAAGGAAAGTAAAACAGGAATAGAGCTAAAAAAATACATTGAATAATTCAGAAAAATAAGTATACAGTTAAAATAATAAAAGATAAGGTAGGGTAGGATAGGTTAACAATAAGCTATATAACATGAAACGATCAGAAGACATAGCGGATATAAAACATATTAGTACAAAAGCATCTTGTCCTGTGTACTTATATATTCGTGTGTGTGGTAGTGAAAGTAAAATATTTTGATGGTTGAATTCATGATTAGTGGAGTCCAATCCGTGTCGGGTAGAAACAGGTACCCACCTCAGACAATGGATGAATGACTGCACAAGGTCATGAATCGATTGAAGTTAGACATTAACACTGTCGGATGCCGGCTCAATGGCCTAAAGCTTGGGCGTTCGCGCGAGACCGAAGGTCCTGGGTTCGAGTCCCGCATGTGGAATCGTGGATGCTCACTACTGAGCAGTCTCATACTAGGACGAGAGGGCCGTCCAGTGCTTCCAGGTTCCCAGTGGTGGTCTAGATTAGATTGACTCATGAATCCAACTATTAAAATTGCTACAATCTCCACAAACCCCATTCTTAAGGTAAAATATAATTATTCACTGAACGTGAAAAAACTGGCACTAAACACACTAACTATTAAAGATGTGATTTCCTTTCCTCTTATTGATTTTTACTTCGAACTCACTGATTGTCACTGCTTATAATTGCGTGGAATAAAGTATTGTCTAGTCTCTACTCTGGTTCTCTATTCGTGGTCGTGAATTATGTATCTGATATAACATTTTTTTTATTTATTTAAACACAGAAATATTGGTACAAGGGGGCACTAGATATATATGTGCCATTCAAATCTCATTTGATTTGTTTGAGGGCTGTGATAATACCCGGGTGCCCAAACTGAAGCAGGTGGTTTTCTTAAGGGGCTACACTCGGAGCCTTTGACCTAAAGATCTGATCCAGAAGACAGTGGAGCATCGTAAGGAGATGTAGTCCCATGGTAGCCGGTGACCAATAATTGATTCATACGCCATTTGTTACTTCAGGACACTGGAGCCCATATGTACTATTGGTTTGGAATGAGGGTTTTCCAACTATTTAATGATGGGTACTATTGTTGATAGTTTGTTAATAACTGAAGTGAATCTATGCAATAAATTAACTCGTAAACTATTCTTCTATGATCATTGTTCTTGCTTTGTTCAAATTTTGAGCGAGTGGATGCCCAGTTAATGTATGAAGTGATAAGACCGCCAATCAGAGAACAGCGAATTATCGATTGGAATAGTGACACACGAAATCCGTACGAGCAGTCTCGAGTACTTATCAGTCCTGCTATCTGCCTAGCCCAGCCAGTTGTGTCCAGAACACCGATAACAGTCCCTGCGGTATGAATCATATTTCAAACATACTGGGTTTATATACCAAACAGACTGACCACATCGTACCAATAAAATAGGAAATAACATTTGTACAAGATCTAGCCAAAAGTGGCTGTGAATGTGAGAGATTGTAATTAATAGACTGGACATAAGTCAGGAACGATTAATCTTATAATAGTCTATGGGTCAAAATAAAGCTTATAATAAGGGTAACACGAATATGAATAGTTTGGTTATTTAGCAATTATACGATAACATTTATGTGCATAATATTGGTCCATAAATGGATCCCAAAGTCACCATTCACTATGGTTATCGGGATATAACAGAAGGGATTAAACTATATGAAGTTTTTTAGCTAATAGAAAGTGTTTTCATTATCAGTGACTGTAATGCAATAAATACGATTCATAGTTTAATGTATTTAGCTGTACATAATTGTTGAATACTACCAACCTTGGTTTTATAACCTACAAATCTGACTTCATTTATTGTTATTATTATCATATATCACAAAGTTAGGACAGCAGAAGAGTCAAATGCTACTTAATGTACGACACCTTAGGCTTTGTTTATGGTATTTTACTTGAATCACAGTTTAATTATTTCATTGTTACATAATATTTATTTCATAGACGATTTTATAAATCAACCGAATGAATCAACACTTGTTCGTTCCATGTCAACATTTACTTCAAATAAAATTAACTCTTCATTACCTGGTCAATCTGTCAAAGCTATTCAAAGTATCAATTCTTCCTCGGAAAAAGTTGATCGTGTTGTTTATACCGAAAAATCCTCTGAAACTGTTAAATACAACCAGAAATCTATTTCTTCTCATAGTAATGATGAGTCTATCAATGTCGTTAATGGATTGAATGATGAACAGTTAATTGATGAACAGGTACGTCTCGATCTTGTTTAAAAAAAAATTGAAATCAAGTTTCAGTATAATGACGAGTCGATCAAGACCAAGGAAGTAACCTCACAGTTTTGGCTTAAATATTAAACCGAAATATTGACTAATGACGATTAATCTTAATAAGGGAAGCATTGTCTTACCTTTACATCCCGTTGGATTGGTGATAAGAACACTCATCTGTGAATCCGGGATTCAATTGATTGTTAGTGAATTCAAAAGCAATGAAATGAAGTGATACTTCACTGAAATCCTTGTAACTATTTAAGGTTAGGACTAGGATTGTATTGTACTGAATTCCTCAATCACGGGATTTCAGTCATCCTGAAGGAACTACGGAGAACACTGGATAACTGTTTCATGCTAGTATGGGAATTCCTGGATGAACACAAATCCAAAATTTCACTGGGAATCGTCACTTCAGGTCCCGTGATGATTATGATATTTGTAGATCAACTGAACTGGTATCGAATGGTTTTTGGTTCCAACTTTAGTCTCTTATAAAATAGAGCACAGCTATTATTCAATGTTATTCATGATATCAGACTAATCCGTGACGTGACTGTATCTCATTCGACAAAATGCTTCTTCACTTATTTGTTGACAAGAATAGATAATTTCTTAACGTCCACTAAAACAAAACAAAAAGACCATTTCTTTTTTTGTCTAAAAAAATCACACTATCTAATCCTTAACTAACACACTGGTTACTTAGATGTTGAAAAACAAAGTTTAAGTATTAATTCACCTATGATTTTGAGATGGTGGAGAAGATTTGTAGCTCAGGTAGATGATTTTGATGGAGTTTTGTTCTCGGAGCTAGATGGTTTGGTCGTGAAGCTTTCATCGTCCTTTTGAACGACATCATCAGCACAATCTTCGGGTAGAAGGACAATGAAAGCTCCACGACCAAACCATCCAGCTCAGAGAACAAAACTCCATCAGAATTAATTCATATAATTTTGGTGTTCGTGAAAAATGAATATCAAAATAATTGTGGTTACACTAGTGGTGAGGAATACCGGAGATAAAGGAATGGTTAGTGGATGTGGAACGAAAAATTATCTATAAAGGAAGGTAGGGAGTTAGTGTGTCTGATCCATATCACCCATTTCAACCACTGATTAAGATAATTGCGTGGACCTCAACTTTCACCTACCTACACGGCTGGTTCTGACAGACAGTGATGTCATGGTCCCACATCACATCTTGATTTAGTCGCTCATATTTTTCATCCAACTTGCTCTTACTACACCCATCATTGCAAGTTGGGCTTCTAACTAAAACTTCGGGACTTTAAGTACTAGTGAACATCATATTCAGTAAATTGATTTATGCTGATCATATCTACTATTATTGCATTTGAATAGAATCCCAGTAATCAGAAAAGTACAACTAACAATGATCAAAGTGTTTTAAAACATTGGATTAGTAGATTGGAAGCAGAAGTTAAACGTTTCAAAGTAGAAAATACTAATTTAAATAAACTGAAAATAGAAGCTCAAGATGTAAGTTTTAATATTTGTCTTTCATATCCTTTCTGTTTCATTATTTTTCTTGTTCCTAACTAAATTTGTTGTAAGATTGTACTTATTATACATGACAGACTATACGTTTTCTTGCTCCTAAATGCCCTGGTACGGCCGAGAGTGGGGAGAGTCCGCTCTCCTCCTCAAAATGCTCTCACATGGCCACGCGTACATATAGCCTTTGCCAGGAATGTCCTACTCACTGCCTTCTCGTGACATTACTGTTGTTTATGAAATTGAGAGGACGAGAAGAGAATGTCCGGCGCATTGACCGGGTTGGTCGACACGGAATGTTCACCTATGGGAGTTGGAAAACCCTGATTACAAACCAATGGTGCACATGGGCCCCAGTATCCTGAGATAACAAATGGCGTATGAATCAATTGTTGGTTACCGGCTACCATGTGACTACATCTCCTCACCATGCTCCACTGCCTTGTGGATTAGATCTTTAGGTCAAAGGCTCCGGTTGTGGCCCCCTAAGAAGACCACCTGCTTCAGTTTGGGCACATTGGCAGTATCACAGCCCTCACACAAATCTCATTCGATTTGTGTGGTGCATATATATCTGGAGCTTCCTTGTACCAATATTTATGCGTTTAAATAATAAGTAATAATAATAATACGTTTTCTTCAATCCATATTGATATCTAATTATGTATTTATGATTGTAATGATTGAAGAAGATTTGTAGCTCAAGTGAATGAGTTTAGTAGTGTTGTATTTTCCTAGCTAGTTCATTTGTGTAGCTTATATTGTCATCCTGGACAACATCACTGGTGTCTATTTCGCTTAGAAATAGAACATGAGACCAACAAAACTATCCATAACTTTGATGGATATAATCAACTATATCATCGTCATCAAACGGTCAGTCAGTCAGTCAGTCACAGCGTAGAACTTCGTACGTACGTACATCAGTTCGAGCTGCCATACCACATTAGCACAGAGCTGAAGTTGTCGATTCAAATCCCATAGTAGTAGAAGTAGTAAGAGTATAAGTATTATGTGAAAGATTAGGGTTTGAAGATGTTATTGAAGGAGTATAATCCAGAGAAATAAATTTGGAAAGAGAAAAAGGATGGGGACATGAGGAATTCAGAGAATTAGAATTTGGTAGAACACAAAGAGTGGATGCACCTTCGCCATTGCAAACGATTTTGCGATTAGTCAAATGAAATCCAAGGAAGTGTTAATCGATCCTTCAAGTGAAAACTAATGGCTGTCAACATTAAGTGATATGTCCAAGCTTAGTGATTGTTCGAAATCACCATAGCAAGCTTTAGGTATAATATTCTTTGAAATTGTCATAATCATAAGTTTCACTAATTGAACTGAACACGGTAAACATTGGACTAGATAGAACACATAGTTATAGAAAATAATATTTGTGTCATGGATGAAAGAGTGGTTAAAACTTACCACTTAGATTGTTTCATAGTTTACGTCACATTAAGTTTACTAAAATAATCGCTGAGATCTATAGAACATTGTGGATTTGTAACCCCATCAGGAATCGAGCCTAGTACATGATATCAAATTTCAAATTGAATAACTGTCATAAACCTTCTATCTCAACAATTTAGGTTGTATTTTCATAGTTGAAATCATGAGCCAATTGAAGCTAGACCACCATGGAAAACCTGGAAGTACTGGACGGCCGTTTCGTCCTATTATGGGACTCCTCAGCAGTGCGCATGCACGACCCGCACTCGTGAGATTCGAACCCAGGACTTACCAGTCTTGCGCTAGAGCACTTAACTGATAGACCAGCCGGCATAGACTGTATTTTCTCATGAGCATTAAAAATGGGTATTTTGTTTTGTATTTTTTTGCTTTATTTTAAAGAGTTTACGTAAACTTGAATTGGAAAAAAGTCGTTTTGACGAGAATAAAATTAAGGAACGAAAAGAATTCGAAGAATACAAAGAGAATGAGATTAGAAAATTAAAGTTAGTTATTTATTACTATATTTGGCCTGTATAAATATACGTATCATGTTTGATGGCTCCCAAATGCCCTGGTACGGCCGAGAGTGGGGAGAGTCCGCACTCCCTCTCCAAATGCTCTCACATGGCCACGCGCATATAGCCTCTGTCATGGAAGTTCTACTCACTGCCTTCTCGTGGCATTACTGTTGTTTATGAAATTGAGAGGACGAGAAGAGAATGTCCGTCGCTTTAACCGGGTTGGTCGACACGGAATGTTCACCTATGGGAGTTGGAAAACCCTGATTACAAACCAATGGTGCACATGGGCCCCAGTATCCTGAGATAACAAATGGCGTATGAATCAATTGTTGGTTACCGGCTACCATGTGACTACATCTCCTCACCATGCTCCACTGCCTTGTGGATTAGATCTTTAGGTCAAAGGCTCCGGTTGTGGCCCCCTAAGAAGACCACCTGCTTCAGTTTGGGCACATTGGCAGTATCACAGCCCTCACACAAATCTCATTCGATTTGTGTGGTGCATATATATCTGGAGCTTCCTTGTACCAATATTTATGTGTTTAGATAAAATAAATAAAAATCCTGTTTGATAAAGTCATTTAATCACGAAGCAATTCTTATGACCTGACACAATATTCACTCATCGATTCATGTTGTTAAGTCTTACACTAACTACTTCAAGTGTTGTTCGTTAAGATTGTCTTCTCTTCCAAGTTTTATCTAACTTTGTCACCATTTAACTTCTCAGAAATCGATCTTCTTCCTGAAAATTCTCTTGTTGACTTGGAATACGCAGATGATATTTTCTTCTTCCTGAAAATTCTCTTGTTGACTTGGAATACGCAGATGATATTTTCTTGTTTGATGAAGATACTAGCAAAATTCATGCACGTTTGGAATGTGATTGTTTTTTTTCTAAGTGACATATCCGAACGAGAATAATGAATGCTAACTGTCGGGATCCTTCTATTGACTAATACTATATATATATATTATTGTAAAGTTGCTAAACAACTAAACTATGTATACTCAAATTCATTCAGTACTGTTTTTTTTGAATTTTCCCATCGATTTGTTAGGACTGCAACTGGTCAGTCTCTAATTGGCATATGTGCATACTGTGCGTATTGCCTCAATATAGCCTTAATTCACAAGCATGGTAAGCAGAGATGGATAGTGGCTAGCAGTGGAATCCAGGTACATCCAGCTGACTAGTCCCAAATAAGACGAAACGCGCGTCCTGGATTCCACTGCTAGCCACTATCCATCTCTGCTTACTATGTATACTTATGTTCCTCTTATTGTAAGCTTTATTCTGACCCGTAGACTATTATGATAAGATTCACAGTTCTTGAGTTATGCCCAGTCTATTAATTAAAGGCAGAAAGAAGGATCGTTAAAGACTCTAGACTGCTCGTACTGGCTTATGCGTCATTGATCCGGTCGATAAGTCACTGTTATCTAATTGGTGGTGTCATTACGTTTTATATTAATAGGGCACAAGGCCACAAGTTATAACACTAAGTATAATATGTTACTTCATTACTGGTCTGTGAGATTGCCTAAACTAAGAGTATGGAGCGAGGTAGTTGCGTGTTTCGACCAATGCACTGATTTTAGATATCTGAGAAGGCCTGGTGAGTTGGTGTGTGGCGAAATCTTGATTACCTTTCTCCAACTTGCGTCACAAGTGATGTATGTAAGATATCCATCTACCAACTGAAGGACGAGTATACCGTGCCATTGTGCAGGAGTTCTCTCCATTCTACGTTTTGGCTGTAAAAGATGGCCTTTAAAATTAGAGGACTTTTGGAGGTTACTAGTTTAAATTATAGTTGTTTACGAACCACTGGCCATATATTTCGGGACCATCGAGCTAGAAATTCTGAGGTCAGAAGCAGAGTACTAGATAAGTATGGCAAACCAATCGATGAGTTGGTGAATCTTTATCAACTAAGATGGTTGGGACATGTGTTACGTATTCCAATTCACGGAATAACTCGATGCGCAATGATGGCTAGTATAGGAATAGTTCGAAAGAGAGTTGGGGCAACCAAACCAATATATCATATCATTCCAAGAAGACACTAACTATTGAATTGAGCGATAAAGGTGGATCCAGACTACGTGTTTAGGGTCTGCATGATTATAGTAACCAATAGTTATAGTCTTCGAGTAACATGCCTCGGAATCATTTTCAATAATCCGGATGCATTCACTGTTAGCCCTCCCTTAGATCCTAAATTTCCAAACTCCTCTCAACTCTTTTATTTCACTAACCCATATTGTCTTGGATCGTACCTTTGATGCCTAATCTTTTCTACCACCACTAATAATAATATTGTTACTGCCTGTTTTACTGTAGGATTTTCTTTTGTAATTTTATCTCTCTATGCTAATGAGGTGTGGCAGCCTGAATCTATATACACATGTGTTAGGTTCTGCGTCGGGTATGACTTAATTAATCTCAAACCTTTCAGCGCAATGACAGATCAAATTACCACGATACATAGCAAAGGAGTTGAAGCATTAAAAATATCGAGGCAATCCGCACAGCTTGCACATATACCAAAAAGAGGCTAATCAATTACCGTTCTAAACATCAATGAGAAGATCCAAACAACCATATATATGAAGTATTAATAACGTCTATGGTTGTGGTAAAAACTAAAATTTGAAGAATGTGATTCGAGAGTAGAAGTGAATTCGTGTGATTAGATGTGGGGGTGATATCGAAACTTCAGATCTAGGCTAGAATAAAAAATTACCACTTCTAAGGCACTGAGAGTGATTTTGAGTCACTCAATCTGAGATTTCCAATCAATGTTTACGATTATTATCCATATCCCAACCAGGAGGTTTACACTTCCATACGTAGTTTGGAGTAACAGTTAGTGTTTTTGTGAAGTTGTGTTATATGTTGGTTCAGGTGCTCCTAGTTTTAAATTTACTTATGTCTTAACCAGTATTGTGTGTCGATGTAAACAGTTATTAGGCATGTAAAACACGTGTTTCAGCGGCCGGCTGGCAACCTTTCTCCAGTGATCGATGTCTATCATCAGCAATAATGATCCTGTTGTTCCGCCATATATGGACATTTCTTGGAAGACATATCTATCTGAATATTACTAACCTATGAATGTTTTTTACTTCCGAATACTACATTTCATTACCATAAATTATAAGGAAGCAGGATCCTGAACACATTCCTTGATAGACAGACGGATACTAACGCTTACACTACCGACGGCGCATGTTGAGTAAAGGTAAGCGAACATTTTGAATCCTTATAGAGATTTATTCTCCTACCAAAATAAGTGAAACTGTCTACTTCGTGCAATTACCCATTACACAATTTCATCATCCAACTTTCATTAAAATGAAAGTTATTATTTACAGCGCTTTATTTTATAGATATATGCGCTACTAGTATTGTTACATCAAGATCTAATCACATTACTTAGACACATTCAAGCTTTCATGTTTTAATACTCTATTGGTTTGTAGAAAGGAAAGACGTGTTTTAGAAGAATATCAACGTGCTCTAAGAACTATGCCGAACAAGAAAGATCGTGAAGAAATTGAACGTCTTAAACAAGAAGTATGTTTACTTAACTAATAATCAATATTCTCAGTTTTTACCTACATCTTAACTTCTCAGTAACAATCAACTATATTTATTTGTAAACGTCCCGGAAATTTAGGGCTATAAAAGAAATTCGAAGGAATGTGGAATATTTTTTTGGTGCTACATTTTTACAACTTACTGTAAATAGGCAAAGATGGATGGTGGCTGTCAGTGGTGTCCAGGACTCGCGTTTCCCCCTATTTGTGACTCGTTACCTGGATATACCAGCATCCCATAGTTGACGTCCACTCCGGGACTCGGACTCCGTACCGTCCGCTTCAAACGTCATCGCGTTATCCACTTAGTTACTGAGTCTTGATGAACACTAGCTTGTGCAATGGGATGAACTTTTAATTCATTTTTGTATTGTTTGTTCAAATCCTCCCATTATTGTTTAGGACTGCAATTGATCAGTCTCTTATTGCCATATGTAATGTTAATAGCTATCTGTATCATAAACAACACATTCTAAAGTCCATCGCAGTTTTCATTTTAGTCGATCTATATGGAATAATTGTCGGTAGGTACTTGTATAATGTCCACTCGAAATAGTAAAGTTGGCTTTTTCATAGTACTGTGAATCCTCACCGAATTCTCGGTATTTTATTCTTCAATTCTTAACACAATCGAATATATTTGAACATGAAATTACAGAACGTCTCAGTAAAATCTGAGAAGCATGCAGTAAATACTTAATTTGCATAATGTCACTCAATTGTCTCAAACTTGACTGTTCAGTTAATCGTCTCCAGACTTCACTACTCTTTCGTTTCCACACCAATCGTTCTTTGTCCTTGTTCTCTTTTCTTTGATCATCTTAACTTTCTGCTCCCAGGCGTTTTACTTTCGATTGATGATACATACTACTTAAATCTGCTGACATCAGTAGCACACATCACAATAGCAAAATTTATTGAAAGTCCATGATCAGAGTTCACATTGAATAATTGAATGCAATGAAAATTCATCTTAACCGATAGTGATTTCTTTTCTTATCAATTGTATTCGGAGATCGCATGTTCTCAATAGTAACAACACATGCTCAGGAGTTTTTATTTTCGAGTTATTTCGAATCCTTATTAACTAAGTAGGAAGGATTTGAAAGTGACCAACTTGGTCTCGTGTGCAGTTACCGGTATGAGGGCTAATATCACTTCCTGGTTGCCCACACCGTGGAAGGATATTTCTTGAGGGACCTGAAAAAGAAGTTGGATTAGTGTTGGTCCTAACGGCTTGGGAGTGTGACCGCAATGCTCAAGGGACAACTGCTTGAGGCCGGTCACGCACGGCCTTTTTGTGGGAGATTTTTGACGTGTTAGCTCCGTTCTTCAAAGGACCTTACCACCGGAGACGGAAATCCGTGGGATAAGACGAGGTGTGCATTTTTAGGGTCGACCTTTTCTAACCCCACCCCTCCTTGTGGGAAGACAGCGTCGCTGTTATGCTGGTTGTCTGAACGAAACACCTTACTGCCGTCACATCTCTGTACAGTTGGCAGTATGACTTCGCCTTCGGACCTTGGGATTACTGCTTTTAGTCTTACCGCTCTTCACGCGACCTGTCTGGCATGGTAGGACCTTGAGAAACGATTGTTCCAGTATAGTTCGATTGGTTCATCACGATAGTCAAGCCTGACCACCACGTCAAGGTAGCAGAAACGGTAGAAATCAAGCTGGTAACTGATATGTGCGTTTAGCAAATTGCCCCGAAATTGTCCATTTCTGTGAATCCATCCAAGAATGGTGTTTGTGATTGTCTTTATATTCTGTTGGTTGTTTTCGTTTAATAGAGTTGTGTCATTTGTTTACAACTACACATCGATTATTAATTGTTTTAGTGACATTTTTGTGTGATAAAATTCTCTGTTATAATCCAAGTAAATTCAATTTTTTCTGTTATTCTGTTCAGCTTGAAGAGTCTCGTGTTGATATGGGTAAACGTGAAGTTCGTTGGCATGCTGCTCTAAGCCGATTACGTACTCGAATTGATGAATTTGAAACAGAACGTAATGAACTTAAAGGACGTATAAGTAGATTAGAAGAAGAACGTATATCATTACAAGCTAAATTAGCTAAATTACAAGTAACTTGTAATAATAATGAATCGAATTCAATAAAACAACGATCATCTTCAGCACTTCGTCAGGTTTGTTTCTATTTACAGTTTAATTTACTTCCCTTTAAGAGAAGGAAAAAGAAGCTAATCTGTTATTAATTATCTGAAGGGGTTTTGTGGAGATTTAGTATTTTCATAGTTGAAAGCGTGAGTCAATTGAAGCTAGACCACCATGGAAAACCTGGAAGCACTGGACAGCCGTTTCGTCCTATTGTGGGACTCCTCAGCAGTGCGCATCCACGGTCCCCTCGCGAGATTCGAACCCAGGACCTACCAGTCTCGCACCAGAGCCCTCAACCTCTAGACCACTGAGCTAGCATCCAACGGTGTTAATGTCTAACTGTTATTGAGAAAAACCAATGTTAAGGAACAGTCTGGGGAAAGAAATATTTTATTTTCTATAATATTTACTGATGGTTTTTCATAGTATGTTTATTTATAAAACACACATATCATATTCATGTTGTAAATCATGAATCGATCTTAGCTAGGCTAACATTTAAAACCAGAAAACACTAAGTAGTTGTTTCATCCTAGCATAAGACTCCTTATGAATGCATATTCACGACCCCGTCACTGAGAATTGGATGTAGGATCACAGTGATGGTGCGCAAACGCTTAACCTCTGAACTACATATATACTTTTTGTTAAGAAAACAGAACTGAACCACGTTTTCAATGTAGAGTATTCGGGAATTGGCGAAAAACCATGTGATATAATTATTTGTTTCACAAATATGAAGAAGTTGATGGGACTAGATATTGTGTTTTGGTCATAAAATGTCAGCATATCTCGTTAAATTGTTCTAGTCTATGCTGTTCATTCGTACAAATCAAGAGTTGAAAAGCGGCAGGACCTGACAATATACCAGCCGTGGCACTAAAGTCAGACTTTTAAGTAAATTCAAAGTTGCTTCACATTCTATTCAGGAAGTTTTGGGAAGAAGAACAAGTGCCACCAACGGGCTAGAAAGAAGAAAACCTCATCAAGGTACCAAAGAAAGATGTGAGAAAATGTGAGAACTACGGAGGCATCACACTGTTATCAGTACCAGGAAAAGTTTTCAAAAGATTTGCTGAACTAGATGAAAGATTCAGTAGACGCCGAACTTCGAGATCAACATGCCTGATTCCGTAGGGATCGGTCGGGCACTGACCAAATCGCGACACTACTGATCATCGTTGAACAATCAGTTGAATGGAACTTGTCAGCATACAACTTCCTTGACTATAAGGAAGCGTTTGAAAGTGTGGATAAGAGAGCCTTATGGAAACTCCTTCGACACTGTAATGTACATGAAGAAATCGTCAATATCATCAGGAATTCTTATGACGGACTACACTGAAAAGTCGTGCATGAAGGAAAACTGACAGGTGCATTCCAAGTAAGGATCGGAGTCAGACAAGGATGCTTGCTCTCCTCCTTCCTCTTCCTTCTGGTTGTTGGCTGTATTATGAAGACCTCGACATCTAAGGGAAGGCACGGAATACAATGGACAGCTCGGAATCAGTTAGATTTAGACTTCGTAGATGACCTAGCTCTCCTGTCTCATACACGCGAACAAATACAGATGAAGACAACTAATGGAGCAGCAGCCTCTACATCAGTATGCCTCAACATACACAAGAGAAAAAGCATGATCCTCAAATACAACACCCAATCACACTTGATGGAGAAACTCTGGAAGACGTGGAAAGTTTCACGTATCTGCGTAGCACCATCGATGAACGTGGAGGTTGTGATGCAGACGTATTTATAAATAGTTGTCTACGCAAAGTACTCAACATTCACTGGATGATTAGCAATGGGAAAGAACTGTCCAGGAGATGGTTGGATGAAGAATTATTGTGAGCGGCCTATGCTCCTCCATGAGGGGTAACAGGCGTAAGTAAGTAAGCAAGTAAGTATACTGTGGATAAATTTTCGATTTGTACTTACTTTAAAACTGATTCGTTTGACTGTGTAGATGTTTTTCAAGAAACTGTGTCTGTTGGGACAACGTTACCAGAATAAAATTGTTAAACCTATTTGCATTCTCTTTCAACAACTGTCTCGGACTAGGCTTGGAGATATGTTTTTGTAAGAGCTGACTTTATGCTATTGGTATAATCTGCTCCGCATTAGCATAAGTTCATATTGATCAGATTCAAAGCTGAAAATTCTCACTTATTAACATATTCAGAGTCTAGCCTGAAACGATATTTATGAAACTCAACCGAATGAATTGTTCTTCAAGATTATTTTTTGGAGTTCAATATTGATGTAAAGTGTTTATAGATCAGAGGGGGTTTTGTGGAGAATTTAGTATTTTCATAGTTGAAATCATGAGTCAATTGAAGCTAGACCACCATGGAAAACCTAGAGGCACTGGACAGCCGTTTCGTCTTATTGTTGGACTTCTCAGCAGTGCGCATCCACAATCCCACACTCGCGAGTTCCGAACCCAGGACCTAGCAGTCTCGAGCTAGAGCCCTTAACCTCTAGACCACTGAGCCGGTATCCAACGGTGTTAATGTCTAACTTCAACTAATCCACGAAATTGAGCAACCGTTCACCAATTGTCTTCAGTGAGTTGATATCTCTACAACAGACTTGGTAGAACTCCACTGGTCACTGCTTCCCACTAGAACTCAAGGAGATATCTCTTGAAGTCAGTCACTAGTGAGCATATGATTATAGATCAGAGGGGGTTTTGTGGAGAATTTAGTATTTTCATAGTTGAAGTGTTTACTTTGGGAGTATCTTATCGTTTATTATTTAATTTTCCTTTAAAGTTCTGTCTCTTTTCCTCGTGTTCTTCTCTCTTGTATCAATTTAGACAGTGAATTCAATCTCACAATCTATTAGTCTAACTCCGCTTAATAATAATAATGATGATGATGTATCGAAGATCACAAATAATACATACTGTCAACGTTCAAGACAATTATCACGTACACGTTCTTCATCATCATCAGCGTCATCAATCTCTCGACCTTCAACAAAAGTAAACAAACCTGGAATAATCAATAATCATAAACAGAATACTATTTCTTCTTCGAATAAAGTCTCTAGCATGATCCCTCAATTGAATAATAATCATAATAGTAATAAATTATGTCACCAAGAGTCTAATTCACCTGTTACTACTGGTACACGTGAAAGTATTGCTAGTGGTGGAGGTTATTTCACCGGAGATGATGACTCTGTCTCAAATGGTGGAAGCAGTGAACGAGTAGTTCGTTTATCTTCACGTCCAAACAATTTCATTAGCAACAATAATGGTGATGATCATAGTAGTAACGTTGCTATCATTTCTAATGATAATCGTAAGAATACTAGTGAACAAGAGAAGGAGTCAATGGGTTTTATTGTTAAACAAAATGTTAATTCTTCAAATGTGATAAACGTTTTGGATAAAAATAGTACAGTAACAGAAACACAGTAAGTGTCTTTGTAAAAGACCACATTGTGTTTAACGATATTGTTTTATTTTGATTATGTTTCATTTCTTTGAATGGCAACATCCTTTCACTGTGAGGATAATTCCAATACCATTCAACTCAGGGAATGAAACACTACTGAAAGTATACACTTGAACTGACAAATCTCTCTATATACTCAGATTAAAGCTATATTGTTTGTGTGTATAGGGAGTTTAGTGATATTGCTTGTCTATCCAAACCTTAGTAGTTGCCAGTAGTGGGTTTTGAACTTGTGATCTGAAGTCTAAAGTTCTAATGTTTTATCAGAAGGGGGTTTTGTGGAGATTTTAGTAATTTTATATTTGAAATTATAAGTCAATTGAAGCTAGACCACCATGGAATAACTGGGAGCACTGGACGGCCGCTTCGTCCTACTGTGGGACTCCTCAACAATGCGCATCCACTATCCCGCCTCGCGAGATTTGAACCCAGGATCTATCAGCCTTGCGCGCGAGCGCTTAACCTCTAGACCACTGAGCTGGCTGGCATCTAACGGTATCTAACTTCAACCGATCCACGATTGTCTTCAATGAGTTACTATCTCACAACAGACCCGGTTGAACTCCACTGGTCACTGCTTCTCACTAGAACTCCAGGAAATACCTCTTGGAGTCAGCAACTAGTGAACATATGATTATTATCAGAAGGGGTTTTGTGGAGATTTTAGTAATTTTATAGTTGAAATCACGAGTCTAATGTTTTAACTATTAAATCACCGTTCCACATTTGTCTAGAAAACTTGGGATTACAGGGCATCAGGTCAACTAGGTTTGTATTTTAATATTTATTTCTATCTGTATGTTAAAAAGCTGTATACTAATCATTCAGTTGAAAGACAGTCAATTATGGTCACTACAATTCAAAACTGAGCTACTATGGTTGTTATCTATAAAGATATTTAACCAAAAATATCGACTGAATTGTACTCATCACATTGAATCCCTCCGACCTAGGTGTCCTCTCACTGTTCATCTACCAACCAGCGAAATCGTTGTTACTTCGGTTGATAATTTCTACAATACAGAAATGTCCTCTCGAATCCAACTATGATCTTGCTGGTCTATAATTTGGTCATCTTCACCCTCTCACCTACCGTACGTAATCATTTGATGATGATTGTATCAATTTAGTTTGATGACTGTATTATTCTTGTCTCATATTGTGTACTTTCTGTAACTTTCTGCTTCCTTCATAGATCAAATCATCACAACCAACACATGAAAGATTTTACCAACAAAGTAGATAATAATCAACAAGAAAAGTTACCCATTCCAGGAACAGCTGCTTCTGGCACCCTAATCCGAAGTGTAAAGCACACAGATGGTTCGGTAAGAGAATATTCTTTATGAAAATCTATCAGTTTATCTGGATCTTAAGATTTTATCTAACTAGAAAATGTTGCTCGACGAACTGTTGTATTAGGTGGACAACGCTAGAAATGTTTATCATCAGATGGTAATTTGTGGTCTAGTAGTTAAGCTCTGACTTCAATACTGTCAATTTTGTGCGTGTATACTACTGGGGAGTTTTACAATAGAACGCAACAGGTTTTCAGTACATCTTGGTTTCCATTTATACCTCAATTGAGGTCAGTCCATTAGGAATAACATCTACATATATAACATCTATGACTAATTGTTGATAAATACTTAGTTAGGGTTAACCCCCAAGGCCACAACAAGTGATTCATAGGAATATTCATGTATTTTTTCCACTCTGATAATGGTGAATCACAGAGGTGACTACTAGTTTCAATAACATTGGAACATTTTTGATCCCGTAACTGTATTATTGAACGTTATATTTGTCAGATATACTATTGCTAATAAATCTTAGTTAGCGAGAAACTTGGATCAAAAGCATTTTAATGATCTCTAATCACCCATTAATATCAAAACATAATCCTACCGTTGTGACTTGAGACACTAATCAGCATCATTTGTTAAGTCTACTAATCAGAATTCTAATTTCCTCTATTCCACGTCTACCATTTCTTCCATAGCCTAGTGTCCCCGACTTGACCAATTATGCGTCTGACCTGCTTGTTAACATTGAAGCAGTACAAGTCAAACTCATATTGGTCCTCTATTATTAAGCCCTTTTCTATCTCCTAACTTGAGTCCGAAAAGTCAGCAGCCAGATCTCATTATTACTATATGGTAAACATACGTACGTTTATACGCAAATATACTGGAAGGCATCGCATCGCATAAAATGAAAAATCACAATTACACATAAACGAGTCAAAAGTGGCTATGAATAAGGCAAGCTGTAGAAAATCTACTTACAATGAACTAGGAATAGTTAGTAGTATAGTAATAGTTAACAGGTCAACCAGAAGCTTAAGATAAACAGAATGTGTATACATAGTCACCCAGTTACTTAGGTTAAATATAATAAAAATATAAATGATAAATCTTCTAAATGAACGTTTGAATCTGGTTCCTAGGCTTTTAACTCCAGGCTAAATATATACGACAACTTGACCACGAGAAAATAGATGTGAAATATGGAAAAAAACCCGCTTCATTCCAAGGTTAATTTATGTACAGAAAAGTGAGGGTATTTATGGTATTTCAGATGGCTTTGGGCTTCTAGAACTCAACTAAACATTGTAGTAGGATAGGTAATCATTCAATCAGAAATGTGACACATAACTTCTCACTTTCTAGATATTTCGGAGAAACATCTATTGAATACTGACTGGATAAAATGTTTCCCAGTGTTTTCAAGATCCCTCTGAGTTTTTTTTCAATCAATACTCTGGGTCTCCCCAATAATAATTCGGAATCGTTCCTAACTTTCACGATATTCATCCCGTTACAATATCCAACATGATGTTGAATCACTTAATCCATCGGTCTTATATTGTAACTTAATCGATAGAGCTCGATTAATTCCCGACAGACTATATTTCATTAATTACTACTATTCAATGATCATTTTTATAAAATCGTTATCCTGATACTTATCCTTTATTTATCAATTTATAGATTGAACAAACTTATTCAAATGGTGCTATTGTTGTATCTTATGCTAATGGTTCAGTGAAAGAAATTTTTCCTGACACTGTAACTGTAGTTGTATCTTTATTCAATGGTGATATTAAACGAACTTTACCAGATGGTCGTGTAGTAAGTGTTTTGTCTTGTATCAATTATTCATTTGTCAAATATTGTTTGTACATAAATGGCTTATTTATTTATCTGTGATATTGCCCAGGTGCCCAAACCGAAGCAGGTTGTTTTCTTAGGGGGTCACACCCCAAGCCTTTGACCTAAAGGTCTGATCCACAAGGCAATAGAGCATCATGAGGAGATGCAGTCCGATGGTAGTCGGCGACCAACTATTTGTTCATACGCCATTTGTTCCCTCAGGATACTGGAGCCAGCCCATGTGCACCATTGGTTTGGAATGGGGGTTTTCAAACTCCACTAGGTGGACTTTCCATGTCCACCAACTTGGTTAAGGTACCGGATATTCGCTTTTCATCCTCTCAACTTCGTAAACAACACTCCCGCCGCTGTCAGAACGCAGTGAACAGGACTTCCCTGTCAGAGGCTATATATTCGCGTGTCCATGTGAGAGCATTTGGAGAGGGAGAGCGCACTCTCCTCACTCTCGGATGTATCAGGGCATTTGGGGGCATAAATGACTAGTGAAATGAGTATATTCGAAGTTAGGTCTTAAAGTTTTTGCATTATAAGAAAGTAATGTATAATCTTGAAAATTACATTATCATTGACTCAGCAAAACATTTGTTATAAGGCCGTAGTCAACACTGTTGATCTCTTTGTCCGTTTGTTTGCTTCATTCCTTACGTCAATAAATCTTATAACATAATCTTTCAGTATGCTTTGTTATTATCTTTGAATATCGGGCTTAAGTTAACAATTATCAGACTTCTGTGGTTAAAATTTATCATTAACATCTCATCATTCATTGACTTATTGAACGATATCCTGCTTAGTAGCAACTTCAAATGGCTTTTTTTGGTTTTAATATATTTAAATTAGTTTTCTCCGATTAACTTGTTGTAGAATGGCCGATAAATCACATAATCAGTATGGAGATTTGTGGAGATTGTAGTATTTTCACAGTTGAATTCACGAGTCATGGCCATCTAGTACTTTCAGGTTTTCGATGGTGATCTAGCTTCGATCGACTCGTGAATTCAACTGTGTAAATCACATAAGCACAGATAATCTTAACTTAACTAGAGGACGGACACAGTGATGCAGATAACAAAACTCTTAATGACAACCAATCAAACATCTATTGTCATGTGACCAAGGGACAATAATAGAAACCCCACTTTTAATGCAAGTTGTCGTTGATGATGTCGCTGTTTAGAATCATGATGAAATCCGGCATACGTTTCAGAAAATCAGCATTTAATATTCCTGTAAACAACTTCCAACTGTATACTTTCATAATATAGCTATGTGATGAACCTGTGAGATTGTTTATCATGAAGTTATCTTGCAATATGAATTGAGATTAGTTCATGAACACCATTAATAACCAGAAAACATCCAACAAATCCTTATTCTAATTCAAAACTCCCTGTTCATCCATAACCCTTGCAAGAGATTGTACATAGGACTGCAATTTTGAATGTAATTTTGGGACTGTTTGAGGATGTATTTTTGAACAGCTAATTAGTTTTCATTGTTTTAGTCTTTCATGTTCTTACTTAGCGTCTTGGAAATCGGAGTGGTTCCTAATTATCATCAAGTATGAGTAAAGAGGCCCCAAATCCAACGGGGTAAATACGTATATTGATAGGGACAACTACTCAGACATAGATGACGCGACCCGGATTTAATAAGGACTCTTAGATTTTTATAAGCCGCTATAAGCGACTTATCAAATAATGATGTTCTTATTATTATCGACTAGCCTGGAGAAGAACTCTTAAAGTTTTAGGGGAAACGGTGGTCCGTGGGAGTATGAAATAGATATTGTGAATAAAATTGATTGTCTTGGGAGCCATCGATAAATCCTTGAGAAAACTCTTCAGAAACTCAGAAAATACATAGATGATTAATTTACGAAACGAGGAATTAAGTATTCACTATTCTTACTGAATAATTGCAGAATTCACTACCGATGTCAACATATCTAACTGAACACTTTAGTACCTCAAAGTCATATGGCTCTTACAAACATCTATTTGTTGTGTGTATACGATAACGTTTGTTATAAAGCTTCGTCCATACTACCTGGCATCTGTTTTCCATTCGGTGTTTCTGATTAAAAGTTGTTTGTGAATTAGGAAGAAGGAATCTAAGCATTTAGGTATAATACCTATCCAAATGATCTTTTCTCTATATTGTCAGCTGCTTGAACATGAAGAAAAACATATCATTTCATTCCAGCTCAATGGTTGATGAAGATCATGGACACCAGGAGACGTGAAAATACTAGGTTTCGTCCAATATAACGGTACTTAATAATCTCAATATCTTTTTGAAGGCTAATAGTTTGGCCTCTTGTTTTCGATTGTTTTCCGCTGGATATCATATCTTGGTGACAACTGACTCAAATGATTTAACTTCTCTTCTGGATAATCTTTCAGCTTAAAAATGAATATCACATTTTTTGAAGAATATTGTAATTCGACTCAAACTACTATTTGTTTAATAAGTAATATGTTAATAGTGGCATATATGCTGTCTAGAATTATGTCACTGATTATGTTCGACATCTCGTTACTAGGTCAGAAAGTTAAATTCCCGTCTTTAATTACTTCTATGAATAACTGTGTAGGGTAGCCCTTTTATAATTAAATTTTAGCTCAAAGTTGAGTTCATAAATCTAAACGTAGGTTACATGAGTTTTATCTCTATTTTCCCTTTTCTAATCTTAATTTATGTACATAAACATATTTAGATATATCATTATGCAGCTGATGGAACAGTTCAGATAACTTATCCTAATGGAACTGAAGAGATTACATATTCTGAGTAAGTCAATGTTGTTTCACTCTACATGTGTTTATGCGCCTGAAGAGAGTATAACTGGGTTTCTGTGGAACACATGTCATCATAATCTATCACCGAGTTGGTTCTTTACTTGTTAAGGTTCGATTCTTTTTGTACTCATCTTGCTAATAAGATGTAGAAACTTTAACCAACATAAATTTGTTTCAATCTCTTCGTTGATTATGACTGACTGATAGCCTGACGGAAATATGGATCTGGGCAATGTTATCATACTTCAACTGATAAGCAATATTTTTTACAACTATATTCTACGTTTCTGCATATTAACCGCCCATCCGAATTCTCTTCATAATATTATGATATTCGATAATTGTTTGTCTTCAGCTTTTTGTTAGTGAAATGAAAGTGATTAATCTCGAAAGAAAATAGAATTCTCAATTTAATTAGCAACTTTTGAAAGCATCTATTTATAGCTAATTAGTTGTGACCTACTCATAAAGTAACTGACCAACTACAACTTAGTCTACTCAGCTTTATAAGCATTAGGCAATAGACTTAAGATCAAATAGAGCGGCACAGGTAAATTCATTTTTGTATCTCCCTGCAGATCTTCAGTCCCAGAATTGTTTCTAATGTAATTTTTCATTCGATCTTTTGAATTATTTTGTCAATCTTTGGTCTTTGTTACATCCTTGATCTGTCTACTGAATAATATACAGGAGAGAACTTGTCTTGATCTGGATTAAGGCCTTGGCACGATCCATATCAGTCTTTCTCGCTATCATAACGATGATAGTTATTCTATCTGCTCTGATTTTCTTTACTCTCTGTTAATTTGATATGGTGGCCTGGATTAACACATATTTTTGCCAGGCCCTTCGTCAGCTGATGACTAACTGACTCGAGCGATTAATCTTCGATGATTAACTATACAAAGTTAGATAATTTAATGCTCAAAAATTGATCTTTCATTATCTAAGTAACCAGTGTGTTAGTTGACGATTGGGTAGGGTGATTTCTATATACAAAAAGCAAAATGTTCTTTTTAGGCAAAGATGAATAGTGGCTAGCAGTGAAATCCAGGACGCGCGTTTCGTCCTATTTGGGACTCGTCAGCTGGATGTACCTTCATCTCAGAGTTGATGTTCATTCTGGGACTCGAACCCAGTACCCTTCGATGGGAAGATTCAAACAAACAATACCAAATGAATTTAAAATGTTCTTTTTGTTTTGTTTCAGTGGACGTCAAGAGATTATCTATTCTTCTCGACAAATAAATCCACACAAAGGTTTACTACTACCAACGACAATAGTCAATTCATCAAAATCCTTGACAAATGAACAAATTTATCAACAATTTAACAACAATAATAACAGTGTTAAAGAAATTCTGTTGCCTAATGGTCAACGTGAAATTCATTCTAGTTCAGGAATTAAAGTTAGTTGAATTTTGTGAATCATCCAATGATTGTATTTTGTGATTAATTTATGTTTTGCTATGAACCAGTTCAATGATAAATAATAATAGCTGTGTTTCTGTTATATCTTGTGGCCGAGTGGATAACCAGTTAATGTATGACGTGATAAGACTGCCATTCAGAGAGCAGCGAATTATTGATTGAAACAGTGACACACTAAAACCGTACGAGCAGTCTAGAGTGTTTATTTTTCCTGCTTTCTGCTTAGCCCAGCCAGTTAAGTCCAGAACACCAATAACAGCCTCTGTGGTATGAATGATTATTCAGAAAACATACTGGCTTTATATACTAATCAAACAGACCACATCGTACCATAAAATAGGAAATAACATATGTACAATATTTGGCCAAATGTGGCTGTGAATAAGAGGAACAGTAATCAATAGACTGGGGATAACTCAGCGGTGGTAAATCGTATGACAATAGTCTATTAGTCAAAATAAAGCTTATAATAAGGGGAACATGAATATGAATAGTTAAGTTAATTAGCAATTATACAATAGGAAATATACATATTACATTGATCCATAAATAGTCCTCAAAAGTTACCATTCACAATTCTCTTCGGGATACAACAGTTTCTTATGTGTGTGTGCTGTTAATTAGATGTCCCACGTTAAAATGAAACATTTGTCTATCGCTTTGTAGTTTGGTTTGATTTTCCATATATAGTTTCCACCATGTACTGGTATTTGTTGTGACATTTAAATGAAATAATTTCTATAGTTGAAATCATGTATCAATTGAACCTAGACCACCATGGAAAACCTGGACATTAACACCGTTGGATGCCGGCCAGCTCAGTGGTCTAGAGTTTAGGTGCTCTGATGCGAGACTGATAGGTCCTGGGTTCCAGTCTTGCGAAGCGGGATGGTGGATGCGCACTTCTGAGGAGTCCCACAATAGGACGAAACGTGTGTTCAGTGCTTCCAGGTTTTCTGTGGTGGTCTAGCTTCAATTGACTCATGATTTCAACTATGAAAATACTGAAATCTTGACAAAACCCCTTCTGCGAATAATTTCTTCTTATTTTGGAATGCTTTGATGACTTATTATCAGTCAACGTAGAACCTAGCAGATGTGTACATTGATCAAAGTTCCCATACTCTACTAGCACAGTGAGATGAATCTCTGAGTAATATTGTCAGTACCAGTATTGTTGGTAATAGAAATGATTAGAGGTCGAAAATAAGATTTTAGAATAGAATATAGATTTGTGAAATTTAAAAAACGCTTTTATAAGGAAAGTAAAAAACTTTAGATCTAAAGGGGTAGAAATAATGAAGCGACCTACATCATCGTGGACGATTTTTGGCAAGTCATCCAAAGAAAGCGAATTCTAGCTGCTTCAGTTCTTATATTCAGGAGAAGCATTGTTAACATGTTCTCATTCAGTGTAACTTATAACTATGTGCACACTGGAAAATGACGATTAAGTAAAGTATAAGGGGATTTATTAGAGAACAATAGGTATGAACAACATAAATGGGATCTATTTAATCCTTAGCTAGAAATTCTGAATAGATGCTCAGTAGTATTTTCAACCAAATTGACTAGGATTTAATTATGATTAATATCTGTCTTTATAATACAGATGAAGATGTTTTAAAGTGTAAGATAGTAAATAATTCGATAGCTGTATAGATCTTTAATATTTGAGGTAATTGTACTTGTATATACGCTATGTAACTTTTAATTAAAACAAACATATTAAAATGTGATATTGGTTGCAGAAGAAAGCTATTAAAATGAAAATGTAATTAACAAATGTTATAACGCGAAATATAGCGTATTGCGATAGGACTACGCGAAATTCTACCGATTGACCAAATTCAGATATCCTAGTTCGACCCCAATACTGTTTCCCAACTCCAATAAATCAGAACACAGCCGTTAAATGAGAATTGTTTATGGGGTCAGCAGCAGAACAAAAATGGTTTACAGACAAGGCATATTTATACAGTTACGATGACTATTAACAGTACCCAATGGAAAGAAAGGACTCGTAAATGTTATAATTAGGACAACTCAAAATTGACCAATAGGGAAACGACACATGAAAGTCATAGTTAGGACACTGTAAATAATGGCCAATAGGAAATAACATGCGAATTATGTGAAGAGTCTGGAAACATACCATTTTACATTCGGGATAATTTTTGGGATATTCTTGTGAATATCCTAACAACAAAGTTGTTTTAGCGAGAGTATAATTTATTGACGAACCAATCAGAAGCGTTTGAAGGATTTCAAGGTTACGCCGCCAATTTCAGTACCTGATGCTCAATCGGTTCATAGTAGATTTTAGAGAAGACTTGACAATTAAGCGCGTACAATAAATGGAACTACTATGAAGTTTCTTTATTTGTGATTTCGGTAATCAAACGACTTGGAGACGTTGTGGTATTGTTCCGTGGTATTGTTCCTCGATGTAAGACGTCTGCTAGAATAGGAACTTTTTTCTCTCGATCGAGATTGAGACTAAGGCAAATTATAATTGCTCCAAACTGTATGATAAAAGCACCCGTAACATTGGGCGCAATATTCGATGTTACTGAAGCTTCGACTGTTCAGTGGTATGAATATTGTAGGTATATATGATTAATGAAAATGAATAACTTACACAACCGGAGTACACACTAACAATATTAAAGCTATGTGGTCGAGCCTGAGAGAGTTTTTGCGACCTTATCATGTTTTCAGAGACCAACTGTTATGGAGCTATATGGATGAGTTCCCCTACCTTATGCATTACGATTTTAGAACCTTCGAACCTATTTCTAACCTTGACAAGTTTTTGGACTATGTAGAAGAAGTGTATCTACTTTAATTCTTTGGTTTTGTATAATATATTTTTACAGTAAGCTGACTGTTTACTGACTGGCTAATATATCTCTAGGTTACTTAAAATTCGTTGAAAGGTCGTCCATAAATTATAGTGCCTCCAGTTGTTTATTTTTCTTGTTATTTCTAAGTCACGTGAATGTTATTTTCTTTATTGTGTGTGTGTGTTCTTAGCATGAATAGTCATAATCATTACTTAATGGATTAACGAAATATTAGTTTATCTTTTAAACAACAAGTATCTTGTACTCTGTTTTTCTATTCAGTTTTGAAAGTTGATGATACGAAAAATTTGCAAGTATTCGATTGTAGGTGTCTTCGAAAAATAAAAGTAGTGAGTAATTATGAGACAAAGTCTATAGTTTATTCAACTAATAAGGTTATAAATTGTGCTTAAACTAGATAGTTTGGGCATATGTAGATTACATGTCTATCCACTAACCTCCCATTTCTAACACAATTATGCCTAACTTCCAGATAAGTTAGACATTTCATCTACCATAAACTGTCTTCTGGATTTGAAGATACCTTGGTTAACACCTATAGTTGTAGACTTTAGATAACGCAGTTCAAAATTGGTCACTGTAGTGCAGTTGTACTCATTCTTTATTTTCTTTCAAGTCTCCTTTTTCTACGAAGCATGAAGTATGACAACTGAAACTGTTGTTTATTCATGATAAGTCGTGCATTTTCTTTGGCTGTTCTGCTGGTCACATAAATCATTGAAACTCGCAAATGTAATGTGTTCAACTAAATTTTTCAAAGTTCATTTAAAACAAGTAAGGTAAGGATGGTTTAATACATGAGTGAATAAAGTCTTCTATAAACTTTGCTATAAATGAATTAATCCATCTAAATTTGTACACTTTTTCTAAACTTTTAATTCTCAGTGTCGTGTATATCCAGATGGTACCACGAAGACTATATTTCCCGATGGTCGACATGAAACTCGTTACAGTTCTGGACGTTTACGTGTTAAAGATGCTAATGGAAATTTACTATTGGATACTAGATTACCTATATTGAATAACATTACTACTAATCGTAATAATGGTATTTTAAATGATAGATCTACGAAAATTTCTATTACTAATCAATCAAGTGGTGGTAATTTAATCATGAAATCTAATTCCTAAATAAATCTACAAACTCTTAAATAGGTAAAAACCATGCAAAAAATTATCTTTGTTTCAAAATGAGAAGTGTTTACCCTAAAAGAAAGCGGCTGTGATTTGTCTTCTTTATTTTGTTTTTTCCCTTCACATTTATAACCAAAACCGTATTTTACTTCCGAAAAAGGAAGACAGTTTACAAGCTATCCGAATTTTCACCTGATTTCGTCAAATCCCTGAGGAATCGTCCACACGTGTTTATATATATAATTTCCCTTAACACTAACCTGTCTGTATATCGATCTATTGTTTAAAATTGAGAACTACCAATCACAATCACTTAATATTATTTGCAGCATTTTTATTGGTTAATTGCACACTTTCATGTGTGTGTGTTTTTCTATCTCTTTTTTGGCTTTTCTGATCCAATCATAATTCAGTAAATAGATTCTATTTAGGTTCACATTTATTCTTGTTGTATATATACCATTGAAGAAATGGTGTATTAAAACAAAATATCCATTTGACTTTTTACTCAAGTGTTTCCCTTTTTTCATCTGTGAAACTGTAGAGTTTTGATTTGTTTTCCTTTTTTTAATTTTACGTTTGAATCTTTTTCTAACCGATCATCTTATCTAGATTGATTATACCTCGGTTACTACTAGGTGACCATCTATTATTATTATTCAAAAAATTATATTAAAATGAATTGTGAGAATCAGTTGTTTATCTCATACACCATTTAGGAAAAGAGAGTGAGAGTTATTCCTGGTTAGTTTTCATTTCAAATTTCTTTATTTTGTTTCTTACTGCACAAATAAACTCGATTGATTATCTTGTAATAGTTAGTATTCATTGAAATAACGATTGTTTTATTTGATATTCTAGAATTCGTTTTCATAAATCTAATAGTGGTAAAAATATAAGGTGCTGGAGGCTTTGGACCAATCGATCAGAATTAAAACAATACTTCTCTAGATTATCAGCAAAATTTACTGTGTACATGTTTTATTACTAGCTGAGTAAAAGTAGTTAATACTTAGAATTGATGAAAATATACCTTTCATGCAACTACACAACGATTATGATTAAGTGGCCCTTTATTTTGACGCCAATTAGATCAGACGATGATGTTGTCGATGGGCTCACCACTTTAGTAGCTCTAAATCTGACTCCAGTTTGATCGTATGGTTGAAAACTGCATTGTTTAATTATCGAGCTGACTTCGCTGAGTTTTTGCTTCAAAAGAATGGAGTACAAAAGGTTCTTCATCGACGTATTTTGCTGCTCAAGGTTTGTCGTCGGCGTGCTCACCACTTTAGTGGCCCCGTATCTAACTCCAATAATATTATATGATTGGTTGCTATTGAGATAAAGATATCGCCAATCCTTGTATATAATCATCGACTTCAGTCGCGTTAGCACATAAGGAAATTAGATAATTTCAATACGAGAATGGATTTTGAATACGTATATTTTGTACAATCTTTGGTTGGAATACGAAGCCTAACAAGATGACGCACAATGGAGTTGAGTGAACCAACTCAGTTTAGCCAAGCGTGAATCGATACTTATTGTCACGCAAAATAAGTTACAAACATGTGTTGATTAAGATAAGAAATGCGCACACATACGCTTACACAAAAAACAGTCAAGGTTAATAAGCAAATAATTAATATAGTCAAAATATGACTAAGATGAATGAACAGATTGATTTGTTCAGAGGCTAGAATAAGCTATATGGGTTTTATATAGTACTAGCCACTACACTGACATGTCACTTACCATAAATTACGAAAAACATTTGCCCCTAATACAGATTATCTAAAGGTGTACTTGATTTTATTGGTAATCACGGATGTTTGTACAGTTAAAATGTATTCTTACACCCCAACTCTTAACCTCAATCCTAGCTTTTATAAACTTATCTACAAAATGGTGACAAAGTATAATCTTATAGCTGAAGTCAGTTTGTGACGAAAGCCTTAACGCTTATTTACGAATTTGTTTCAACTCCTATTAGTTATATTTAACCTTTCTCAGTGAAATATGTAAAAGTTGATTAATCATATCAAAGCTATCATTAGTTAACTCTCGTTGGTTTCGCCAGAAACATCTAGAAAGTGAAAAATCACATGTCACACTTCTGATTGGATGATTACCTATATTCCTACTATGTTTAATAGCGTTCCAGAAATTTCTGGGAGCCCAAAGCCATTTAAATTGCTATAAAAACCTTATATTTTCTGTTCATAAAAGAATCCTGGAATACAACGTTCCTTCTATATTTCGCACCTTTTCTCTCATGTTCAAGTCGCTGTGTAGATTTAGCTTGGGTGTTACTAGAAGACCTTAGAAACCAAATCTAGCGTTCAATTAGAAGACTTATCAGAGTGGTTTTGCAAAAATAAATTGAATTATCATATAATTATTGACGATTGTACAGAAAAAGTATTTGTTCATTTCTACAATAGTTTATAATTATTCTTATGATTGAATAATTGAAGAGATCCAATTATTGGCAAACGTAAGATTGCTATAAATTCCTGGAGTTCCTGGCACTTGAAAAAATATAATCAATAATTTACATTGAATGATACGACAATCATAGTTAGGGGTATATTTAATTCAGAACTACAATTAACATCTCAAAATCAATTAGACAATTTGAACTTCTCAGATGACGTAACCCTCCTGTTCTATAAACACGAACAAATACAGATGAAGACAACTAATGTAGCAGTAGCCTCTGTATCAATAAGCCTCAACATACACAAAGGTAAAATCACAATTCTCAAATGCAACACAGAGAACACCAACCCAGTCAAACTTGATGGTGAAACTCTGGAACATGTGGGAACATTCACGTACTTGGGCAGAAATATTGATGAACAAGAAGGATTTGACGTAGACGTAAACGCGAGGATTGGCAAAGCAAGGCAGCATTCCTACAAGTGAAGAACCTATATAACCCAAAACAACTGTCAACCAATATCTGAGTTAGAATCTTCAGTACGAATGTCAAGACAGCCCTACTGTATGGAGCTGAAACGTGGAGAACTACTACAACCATCATCAAGAAGGTACAATTATTTATAAACAGTTGTCTACGCAAAATAATCAACATTCACTGGCTGAGTACCATCAGCAACAGCCTTCTGTGGGAGAGGACAAACCAGTTTCCATCTGAAGAGGAAATTAGGAAAAGACGTTGGGAGTGGATTGGACATACATAGTGGAAATCATTAAACTGCATCACGAAGTAAACACTAACTTAGAATCCTGAAGGAAGCAGAAAAGTGGAAGGCCAAAAAACACACTTCTCCGGGAATCATAAACAGACATAAAATGGATGTTTAGCAAATAGAAAGGACTGTCTAGAAGAGGGTTGGATGGAGAATTCTAGTGAGCGGCTCATGCTCCTCCGTGAAGGGTAACAGGCGTAAGTAAGTAAGTATATTTAATACAGTGGTGTGTACTATTTATGTTGATAGATATGAGTAGTATGTAAAACTAATCGGAAATGGAATGTCTGACAACAGAAGATTGAATTGATGAGAATAGAAACGACCACAGAGAACAATTGTGGTAACAACAGAATTGAAAGAATCATGATGCGTATAAAGGACAATCGAGGCAAGTTGTGTAAATGATGTGGGGTTTTCACATTCTTTATGAAAACACTCTGTTATTTCGCATTTAACAATAAATTGGTTCCCTCCACCTGAGTTCTTGTTCACTACAATACGATTTTTGAGGAAGGTAATGATAAGAAGTGATTCATTTCCTTGTAATGAATTTTTCAATTATGGTCATTTCGAATCCTTGTATCATACAAACAATATTGAATCTAACGATATAAAACCTATGATATATATTCATATCACCTTCATGTGTACATGTACGTGACTTTCAACCTCACTGTTTCTATGAAAGTTCTGTTATTGATGAGGCTATACATCTACTCAAACCAAAGTAAATATCTATGAAGTAGAATGTTTTGATCACTAGGCTAACGTTATTTAGATTCTCTACGTAGATGATATGGCGCTGGAAGATTACTTGATTTATCTTCTCAAAGATTGTTTTTAATTTGATATAACTAATGAATCTGACAGTAATTAGTATTCATTCCATTGACCTAATAAAACCAATCGTTTACATTAGTAAAACCGTAAATCTTGATCATAGTAACGAGATAAAATGTTTTTAGATCTTTATTATTTAATGCCTAAACAAAATATAAACACTAAGAACAGGCGAATTGTGGCTAGGAGTGGAATCCGAGATACCCATTTTGTCCTACTTAGGAATCGATAGCCTAATTCACATTCATCTAAGCTTTGTTGTTTGATCCGAGTCGTACTGTGGTCGATTGTCGGATCAAAAACCATCTCTATGATCCAGGTTCATCCAGATAACGAGTCTTGAATGGAATAAAACGGACGTCCTGGATTTCACTCACAACCACGCCCTATCTTTTCATTCAAACAGCTTGTGACATAATGGCTATATCAAGACAATCCACACACAGGATGCAAATATGTTAACTAAGATTGATCAACTTTCAGTTAAAATATCGAAGACGGGATAATACAAATTATCATAGTTAAAATAAACTCTAAGGGTTTGTTGAGTACAGACTATAAAACTTCAATGTATTAATTTCCTTCTGGAATAAAACTTTCAAATTGACAAGGTATATGACGTTTACAGTAACCTTTTTGCTCTGTAGATCCTAACTTCGAGACAGTTCATAAGTGTGTATATCTTCACAAAATTTACCTCGATCACCGCGAAAAGTTATAATATCACATTTTGTGGATCCAGTCTTTGAAACATCCTTAAATGTTTAAAGCTCACTTATTGAATACTTGGCATAAGGTATTATTTATGGAATTTCTCTGTATATGTTAGTGGATATCCATTAGATCTACAATTTTCTGATTCACTTTGGCAAAGATAATGACTAGAAGCTGAAGAGCACTGTATATTTGTTACAGGATAGTATAAAACTACTCATTTGTTTTAATGAGCAGCTGTTATATGTTGACTTAATGACATTAGGAGTGAGATGGATAACACTGATACTACTGGATGATCATCGCTCACTATCATGAATTAGCTGACATGTACGCTGTTCGACTCCTGCGCAATGTTTAAGACATTACACACCCATCACGCGACAAGGTTGTCGGTGCTAGCTCCTCAGAAGCTTCATAGTGAAACTAAACTTTTTGATTATCTTGTTTTAAATTCATTCCGTAATGTAAACTGTTATCAGATAGCTAGTTATTAACTGAATAATTTCCCATGTTCATTTTTATTACACATGGTCAAAATAGTGACTTATTTTTATGGGTAGATGATTAGTAACTGTCAGCTTACCAGCACATGATTTCCCAAATGATACAATTCCAATTTGATACCATGCATAATCAGTAGTATTATGTAATTGACACATTAATGGACTACCACTATCTCCTTGACAAGAGTCTTTACCACCCATAATATATCCAGCACATATCATTGTTTCAGTTAATTTTCCTTGATATGCTTCTGTTTGATTACATACCGTTAAATTAAGTAGTGGAATACGGAGATGACGTAATTCATTTGATATTGGTGAATCTATTGGCATACAAATAAGAAAGATTAGTTTACAATCTATTAAGTTAGTATAACTGAGCAAATTAATCATAACTGTGACTAGAGAATCAATAGTTCAGGAGACCGCCTCAGTGATCTATCGGTTAAGGGCTCTAGCTCGGGACTGGTAGGTCCTGGGTTCGAATCTCGTGAGTGGGGGTTCGTGGATGCGCACTGCTGAGGAGTCCCATAATAAGACGAAACGGTCGTCCAGTGCTTCTAGGTTTTCGATGGTGGTCTAGCTTCAATTGACTCATGATTTCAACTATAAAAAATACTGAAATCTAATTGCTATTATACTAAACTTTTTAACCGTCACTCTACATATGCTGTGTTTAATCTGTTTTGATTTCTTAGATCTGTTCTATTCTCGTAAGGAGACTTAAACTAGATGGATAGAGTTTTCACATATCCTTTTCGGTCGAAGTGGTAATCATGTAGGACGAAACGCACGTCCTGGATTCCATTGCTAGCCACTATCCATCTCTGCCTATAAAGATTATGATTTCAGGCAATATCGAGGCAGTCCGCATGGGATGTACATATGCCAATAAGAGACTGATCAATCGCAGTCCAAAATGTCAGTGGGAAGATACAAGTAAACAACACCAAGTGAATATAACTTCACCCCGTTGCACAAGCAGGTGATCATCAGGACTCAGTAGCCGAGTGGATAACACGATGGCGTTTGAAGCAAACGGTACTGGATTGGAGTTCCAGAGTGACCATCAACAACTCTGAGATTCAGGTTCATCCAGCTGACGAGTTCCAAATAGGAAGAGACGCGCGTCCTGGATTCCACTGTTAACCACTATCAATTTTTGCTTATCATCTAAATCTTTGTTGATATATCTTACCTTTGTAGAACATATTCCAAAGAAAATTCCAATATCTGTTCGACAGAATACATTCAAAACTGTCAAAGAACATCTCACCATGAAACAATAATAATAAGATAGAGAGGAAGAAAAGATTATTCTTTTGCGTAATTATACAATGGACAAGACTAATTAACCTTTTTAATAATGCTGTTTTCCTGAATGGTTGTTGATATAAAGAATGAATTCAAGTACTTTCCTTACCGCAGTGTACTACCATACTACGATAATAAGAATAAACTGGTTGACCGGGTTTATAAAACCGCTAGATTGTATTCTCAAACGATGAATTATGAAGAAGCTACATCACATTATATACGATACCTGATTCACGGAAAATCCACCTAGGGAAGTTGGAAAACCCTGATTCCAAACCAATGGTGCACATGAACTTCAGTATCCCGAAGGAACAAATGGTGTATGAATCAATTGTTGATCACCGGCTACCATGGGAATGCATCTCTTCACGATACTCCACTGCCTTGTGGATTGGGTCTTCAGATCGAAGGCTCCAGGTGTGGCCCCATAAGAAAACCACCTGCTTCAGTTTGGGCACCTGGGCAGTATCACAGCCCTCATAAAAATCAAATGAGATTTGTGTGGCGCCAATTTGTACCAATATTTATGTGTTTAACTAAAATATTCACGATCAAAAATAGGTAATCAGATTAACACTAGATAATACTTTATTCCACACAACTATAAGCGGTCACTCTCAGTGAATACGGGGTAGAAACTAATAATGGGTATGAAAATCATATATATTTGATAGTCAATTAGTTGTATGCTTGTTTGTCTACTAATCAGATGATTGATTTAACAGTTCACATAAACATACATTTTACCTAGAAATTGCGCTACTGAAACTTAATAAAATCGGCGGTTTTCCTAGAATATGGCTTGTACTAGCTGAGATCAATAAACGAAACGACAGCAGTCCAATATATTGAGGTAAGATGGTGGTTGGAGGTGGTCAACAGGAAACCCTGGATCCGGGTTTTGTGCTACTTGGCACTCGTCAGCAAGGTGTACCTGTAATCTTGAGGGAACTGATGCTTCCTGGAGGATTCGATCCCATGTCACTTAGCTTCACAGTCAGAGACGTCACCACCACGCATGACATTGATCACCACCCAGTGATCAATCAATGGTGATAGCAGTCCAATATAGTTAGATACTTTGAAGGCATGTCGTTTATGATTGTGAGTAGATCATTTGAGATCAATTTGTTTTTAATAGATTGGAAAAAAAAGAAACAACATTCAATGATTGATTACCTTCTGAACTTCCCCATCCTGCAACATAACAACGATCTAATTCATTAGTATTCATCAATGTTGTATCCAATATACAAATTGGTCTTCGTTTTGAAGTATACTGAATTGGTGAAACAATTTTTATCAATGCATAATCATAATCATATAATTTATGTAGACGATAATTTGGATGAGTTAATATACTACTTATATTCATTAATATCTCTTCACTATCAGTCCAATCTAAATAAGAATCACCAATGTGGACTGTCCAATTGTCTAGATTTATATTTCTGTAATAATATGAATAATCATAACAGGTAAACAAATGAATTTGATGTCAATGAAGACTTTCTTTATCATGTATAAACATAGTTGAATAGGTTCATTGTTATAAAATAAACTGCCCCATCTAGATCGAGCATGGTGTTAGAAAAAGTGGTCGTCCTCTTTATCTGAATGAATATTAACGCTATTAAGTCCCTTCGCTAACATGAATCCATGTGAACGACTATGGACATATTTTCAATTGAGGAGATGTTAGGATTATGGATTGAAGATATACAAAGACGATGATAGAACTTCTAAAAGATTGGGGTTCAAGTCAATTGGCATATGTGCATACTGTGCGTATTGCTTCGATATAGCCTAAATTCACAAGTTTGGTAAGCAAATATGGATAGTGGCTAGCAGTGGAATGCAGGACACACATTTTGTCCTATTTGGGACTCGTCAGCTGGATGTACCTGCATCTCAGAGTTGATGTTCACTCTAGGACTCGAATTCAGTACCTTTTGCTTCAAACGCCATCGCGTTATCCAATCGGCCACTGAGTCCTGATAGCCACTTGCTTGTGCAATGGGGTGAAGTTGGAATTCACTTAGTATTGTTTGTTTTTTAATTGAATATATGTATAATTTTCAATAACAAACGATCATTCAGACAATATACCATTGAGCTTACACTCCAAAACACTAGATGGAACTATGGCATTTAAGTGCTAGTAGCATACAGACAGATTCAAAGTAGGTCTGTGTGTGTGTGTGTGCAAAAACCAGGTTTCGAAATTTGGATCTGAACTTGTATTTAGAATAAATGAGACTTTATTAATAGCGGGAATAGTTGCTATCAGTGGAAGCCAGGATGCAGGTTTCATTTTGTTGGGTATGTGAAATCCCCAGAACTTACTTGGTTAATGACTTATTTTTGTAATTTTATTTTGAAAATTCGAATTTACTTGTTTTCGCGCCAAAAACACTCCTTTCACCTTCGAGTCGTATTTCCCCCTTGGAAATATCTTGAATGCTATTGGTCCGTTGTATTTTTTTAGTGTGCTATTTTTTAATGCTTCCCAAAGACAACTTTATACTATATAAATACGTTTAATTTCTTTCTATTATGATTGCTTGTACTTCGGTTGCTTAAGGAATATATATTCCCCCTACTTCGTTTTGGACTTCTCACTCTAGTTAGCGGGGATTGGGACAACGGATTAGAATAGCCTATTGTGTCACTGTGTCATTGACCTTCGGTCCGTTTACCAAGTAAGGAGAAATCGTAATTAGCATCAAGTATATCACATTCTATTTGGAACACGTCAACTAGAAGTACCTGCATTCAAGATTAGAAGCTAATGCATTCCCTAACCCAAACAACTGGAAGATTTGAATTCTTACAAATGAATGACTCCTTACCAATATTTTAAATAATATTGCTTCATTATATTTAAATACCTACTTTGGAAAACAATGAGCTGCTGTTAATAACCATTGACTACTAATTAAACTGGCACCACATCGAAATTGATTATTTTCTCTTACTGATACCATCCATGGCCATTGACCTGGTCTAGATATTTCTCCACCAATAATTCTACTCTCCATTTGAATATCATTACATTCAAAGCCATCATCATTGAATTGAAGTGCTAATCCACATGAATAAAAACTATTCGGTTTCAATGACTCTTTCTCAATTGTTTCATAGTGAAGAAGAAAACCTTTTCCATGATTAGCATCATCTGTACCAAATATTATATAGACTTGTGAACTATTGATTTCAATTGGATTAGGTAATTTCATTTGACCACAATATGTATATACATCTGTATAATACTCATCTGCAATTAATAAGTAGTCAAACATACAACTAGGAAAAAAAAGAAGTGAGGAATGAAAAGAACAAAGAATCAATGGTAAATTAACTATTTAAAACAATATATATAAAGGTAAACAAAGTATGGTAAGCAGAGATGGATAGTGTCTAGCAGTGGAATCTAGTTTGACGCGCGTTTCGTCTTATTTGGGACTTGTCAGCTGGATGTACCTGCCACATCTCAGAGTTGATGTTCACTCTGGGATTTGAATACAGGACCTTTCGCTTCAAACGCTTCAAACAGGTTGTCATAGTGAAGAAAATCTAAGAGACTCATTATACACTCTGGCATTCACCTAACAATAGATGCCGTACTTAATAGTCTGTAGATGTATGTGAATTCCTGGTATGAAGTTGTAAACCATATCAGGCGTGATACATATGTGTTGGGTGGTCCATAACTCAATATCTTGAATTCATTGAAATTAGAGTTATGATCTAATTGATCTAAACTTTCAAGTTTTATAGTTAGGTACTTTCTACAATGCCTGAAGTTCATGGATTCGATAATTATCAGAGCCATTCATGGTGTAGTGAACAGAAACACTACTGCGAACAATCGAATGTATTTAGGCTTAAATACAGACCATCTCAGTAAATTCTGATAACCATACAGTCAACAGTTAATTTGCAAAATAACAATCAATTGTCTCAATCTTAAGTGTTCCTTCCATCTTTTCTGATTTTGTACCGATTTCGCTTCATTCGTGTTCGTTCCTTATCTATCTTCTGCCAAAACACATTTTATGTCTGACCATGTACTACTTAAATGGATATAAGTAGACCATACCACAATGGGGTACTAATGAGAGCTTCAGATTCTGATTATCAACGTTAACAAAACTGTGTCACATTCAATGACTTCGCAATGAAGATCATAAATAGAAATTTAAATATTAAATTTAGGACAAACATTATTCCTTACTGTCAGTTCATGATCATGTTGTCTAACCAACTGGTTGAAATCAGGTTACATTAATCATTATTGCTTCTATTTTATAGCACCCTCTATTATGAAACTGGATTTCGCTAAGTCAGAAAAGGGTTTCGTGGAGATAGTAGTAATTTAATAGTTGAATTAATGAGTCAATTACAGTTAGGCCACCATGGAAAAGTTGGATAGCCATATTGTCCTAGCATAGAACTACTCAGCATTACGTACTCAAGATCCCGCTCTCAGGATTCGAACCCACGACCTCCTGTCTCTCGCTCGAACGCCTTATCTTTAGACCACTGAGCCAGCATGTGTAAATTCAATCAATCCACAAAATTGTGCCATCGTACACCATTGTCTTTAGTGAGTCCCATACTAGTATGAAAATGGCCGTCCAGTGCTTCCAGGTTTTCCATGGTGATCTAACTTCAATTAACTCATGAATTCAACTATACATACCATAAATACTTTGTTTACATATCGATGTCGCTCCGCGAGATCCGAGCCGAGGACCGGCATCTAACGGTATTATTGTCTAAACTCAACCAATCCACGAAATTGAGCGACCAACTTCTATTGTACTGAGGTAGATACCTGTCTCTACCCTGACATGGATTAGCTCCACTGGTTGCGACTTCCCACTAGAACTCCAGGAATTACCTCATGGAGCCGGTCACTAGTGAGTATATGGTGCAGTACATCTACAATTTCGACGATTGTTGTAAGGATACAAATGATTGATCTAGGACTCACATTAATAGTTAATGTCGTTTTGGTGTACATCTTACCATTGGTTATTTATAGCCAAGAAAACTCACCTCGAATAAGTCTGTTTAAATCACTAATATCTTCTTATTTCTGCTTTGATTCGTCCAAAGGGTTAGAAATCTGCATTCTGTATGCATCATTCTACAAAAATTCAGATGGTAAACCAAACTATTCTTTTTCATTTGGGGTTTTCGAAGTACCTTGTATTTCTTTCAGTGTGATATTTAGAAGCTTTCAACAATTCTTTTGTTTTCACAGTTGAATTTCACGAGTCAATCCAAGTTCAACCACTAGTGGAAATCTGGTAGCACTATATGGCCACTTCATCCTAGTATGAGACTACTCAACAGTGCGCATCCACGATCCGCACGTGGAACTCAAACGTAGGACCTTCGGTCTCGCGCTCTACGCTTAACCTCTAGACCACTGAGCCGGTATCCAACAGTATTAATGTCTAACTTCAATCGACTCATGATCTCGCGCAATCATTCATCCATTGTCTGAGGTGGATAACTTTATCTTTCTGACACGGATTGGATTCCACTAGTCACAGTTTATCACTAGAACTCCATGAAATCTATCTTGAAGCTAACCACTAGTGAGCACATGATTATTATCAATATGTGGATTTGTGGAAACTATAGTATTTTCACAGTTTAATTCACTAGTCAGTTTAAGCTGGAGCGTAAAAGATGATCAACACTGAGAGCTAGAAATGAATGAGAATAATCTGTTGAGCTAATTCGATTTACAGCTTAAACTACAAATCACAAAAATAAGTTTAATTCCTTGAAAAAGGTTGAACCAGATTGTCAAGCGAAATGTGCGATTTACTTCAAATTCATTTTACCTTAAAAATATGAACTATTCGCGAGTAGTCAAAATGTTTTAACTAAATATATCCATCCTGTTTGGTCATAAAAGACAATTTAGAACTATTTTTAATCAATTTGTGGTTTATGGCAGTTACCCACCAAATACGATGGAAGATGGTCGTGCAATATTGTGGATTGGTTGAAATTAAACATTAACACCGTTGGTTGCTAGCTCAGTGGTCTAGAGGTTAGGCGTTAGTGCGCGAGATCGAGGGTGCTGGGTTTGATTACAACGTTTTGGTTAAAGGATGCATACTGTTCACTGTTCCCATACTAGGGTGAAATGGCCATCCAGTGCTTCCAGGTTTCCAGCGGTAGTTTAAGATTTATCGGCCCATGATTTCAATGAAACTACAATTCATTGTTAGCTTATCAATTTCTCATGCTTTTTAATAACACACATCCTTTAGGAGTTTTAGAAATCTGATTGTCATTCGTGGTTAGCATGATGGACCGATTTTTAGTTCACTGTCTGTCTAATTAAGATCAGTCCGTGATGTTAAATATGAAATTTAGAAACTTTCTACAAACCTTTTATAGTAACTAATTACGAGAGGAAATCCAGATGTTCTGTTGAGAAGCTGTAATCAATGGAGTTTAACTATGTAAAGTCTGAAGCAGTTACTCGCCAAGTACATTGAAATTCGGTTGCTCAGTTTTGCGAATAAATGGAAGTTAGACAAGTACATCATTAGAACTCAGCTTAATGATCTAAAGGTTAGGCTTGAAGATCTTAGGTTCGATCTCTGGCGGCAGGATCATAGATATTCACTGATGGGAAGTTTGTTACAAAGAAAAACAGCCCTTTTGTGCTTTCAAGTTTTCAATGGCTGTTTAACTAAGATCAATTAGTGTTGTTGAGTTTGTTTTGATTATTTACATGACATAACTTTGTATCATAATCTTTCTATTACATTACTATATTGATTCATCTGTTAAAAAGAGATTGTAGTGTTGGTTACTATGTTAAGCCTAAATAACTTATTCTAGCTTCTAGACTGGGCAATTTATCCATTCTTCTTGAGTTACGTTTTGACCTTGTTAATTATTCACTTATCAACCTTGACTATCTTTATATGAGAGTATGTGTGTATACTTGCTATCTTATTCACCACAAGTCTTTAACCTACTTTTATCTAGCTATCAATATTGATCAACACTCAATTAAAAGGAGTTAATTCACACGCCTTCTCCATCGTGTGTCATTTCGTTTCACTCTTTTCTATTCTCTTCATCCCTCACATTTCCTGTCCAAATCACTGAGTGTACAAATTATATACCTTCAAAAATCCATTCCTGTATTCAACTTATTTAATTCCATTATTCACCGAGATGATTTAAGTCGATAAAATAAATAAAAGGATAGCCAACATGTGTATTTTGATAACAATCGGTATATAATCAAATTGGAATCAGCTATCGTTCGGTCAATCAGTCAAGCACGACGTAGAACTTCACACGTACGTACATCAGTTCGAGTTGTCATACCACATTAGTACAGAGATGTAGTTGTCTATTCAAATCCCATAGTGATAGAAGCAGTAAAAGTATAAGCTCATATGTTTTCCGACAATCAATTGAACAATTCAAAGGTTAGGTATAGGGTACTACATACGTATGACAGATCCATCGATGTGGTATCGGTCTTCATTAAATGAGTTTGTTGGTAATGTATTGGGTAAGTTCAACTACCGCCTCAGTCAGTCAGCAAGTCATAACGTAGAACATCGTACGTATATACATCAGTTCGAGTTGTTATACCACATTAGCACAAAGATACAGTTGTCGATTCAAATCCTATAGTGATAGGAGTAGTAAGAGTATAAGCAGTAATCGGAAAGATTAGGGTTTAAAGATGTTATTGAAGAAGTATAATCCGGTGAAATAAATTTGAAAAGAGAAAAGGGACAGGGACATGAAGAATTCAGAAGATTAGAATTCGGGAGAACACAAAGAGTGGATGTACCTACGTCATTGCAAACGATTTTGAGCCATGTCATTTGAGTTCACTAACCATCTGTTTATATCATCTCGCGAATCCCAACTAGGTAGTCTACACCTGCCAACATGGCTCAGTCCACTTTTCAGCGACTTCATGGATTTATGCCACCTTTTGGTATGACCACCCCTAGCTTTCTTCCAACCTACTCCTACATCATAAAACATAGCAAGTCGGGGCAGTCAGTGGTTGGGCATACGTAACACGTGTTCCAGCCATCTCAACTGTTGAAGTTTCACTACTTCATCAATCCATTTGTCATTCTTACCTAGTACCCGTTTCCTAACAACTGCATTACTTACCCGGTGGTCTCAGGATATACGAGTAATGCTTCGAAGACACCTATGATGGAATACTAGTAACCTACGAATATCCTCTACTCTTACTGGTCATATTTCACTGTCATAAAGTACGACGGAACGGACTGCTGTGCATTAAACCCGTCCTTTGGTTGCTAGACAAATATCTCGCCTACGCCATAAATGACGCAAGTTGGCGAAAGCTAGACGAGCCTTCTGTATCCATGCTGAGATTTCGTCACACACCAGACCACAAGGACTGATGAGACTCTCAAAATAAGTGAAGCAGTGAACACGCTATATCATATCAATAGAAAAGGATTATTTACTTACCTATTCGTTTCTTCTAAATCAAGTTCTTCTATATGAATAATAATTTTATAATTAAATGATGCTTTAATTAAATATTCACAGTATAAATTGGATGTATATTTCATTATTCCATATTGAGTATGGGATTTAATTAAACCTGACTTATTTGAATATACTCGAGGTTCTGAACAAGCTGATAAAGAAAAACAAACAAAGCAACAACAACATAGAGTTGAACAACTAATGATGATTGAATAATTAAATTGATGAGTTAAATTGAGCTAGACTACCACTATGGAAAACCTAGAAGCAATGGACGACCGTTTCGTCTTAGTATGGAACTACTCAACAGTGCTCATCCACGATCTTGCTAGAGGGATTCGAACCCATGACATTGAAAACTGAATAGAAATTAATTGAACTAATTAGATGAGACCTTAAATAATTAAGTAATACTATGATTATATACAACTCCTCTTGTAGCTCGTCTAGAGTTATTGCTAATTCCAAGCACAGTAAAAGAGGAGGTTTGGGCATAGGTTTAGCTATCCCATCTCGTAGAAAACTAACTCACTAAAAAAAATGATCATATACATCATTCGATAGATTAGTAACCTTACTAAAAACTAACAAAACCATTTCTAGCTTAAATAACTTTAAAAATCTTATCTAATACTACAAGGAATACATTGGAAAATGCTACTCATTTGGGCGAAGCAAAGAGTAAAATTCGTCTAACATAGTTTAGCTAATAAGTTTCACTTTGTAAGTATCAATCTGAAATTCCCTGTGCTAGAATTGATCAGTCTTGAATATAGACTTAAAAAGATCGAATATTCAATGAATATCAACCCAGAAAATTCATCGAAAAAAAAGTATTCAGCATTCAAAAGAAATTTGACCAAAAACATCTAGAAAGGCAAAAGTCATATTGTGGTGTGGTCTACTTATATCCATATAAGTAGTATATGGTGTGGGTCAGACATAGAATGTATTTTCGCAGAAGACCGATGAGCAAAGAACTGAAATGAAGCGCAATCGTTTGGAAAATGCATGAGCAATGGAATAAGAGAAGAAACAGTGAAGATTGAAACAATTGGTTGTTAATTTGCAAATTGACTGTTCATTGTATGGTTTTCAGAATTTACTGAGATAGTCTGTAATCTTTGCTTAAATACATTCGATTGTCCCCAACGAGTCGTGTTCTGTTCACAACATTTAGTGTCGCTGCCAACCAGGAGGAGGAAGGGTGCTGTTCTGCGGACGCCGCTGCGTGTCAGGAGTTGAGGTGCTAGTTTGGGCAGCCTGGTGCGGAGAGGTGGCGTCGAGTGGAGTGTTCTGGCGGGGCGGCATTGGCTGTAGCGGGTGCTGTCGACGGAGAGGAGCAGTGGGACGTGCGGCTGCTGGGCGGACATCGGATGTAGATGGCTCAGCAGGCCGGTGGAGTACGGGTGTTGAACGTCCCAGGTGCCGGGTGGATGCGGATGTTGGTGCGCCGGCAGGTCGACGGAGCTATGGAGGTCAGCGCGCCGCAGACTCGACATTCTGACGGAGAGTTTGGCACAGACTGCAGTGAAAGAAGATAGTGGGGTGGCGAGCAGAACCACCGCATGGTCGAATGCTTTAAAGGGGGGACGAGTGTGGTGTGGTCTACTTATATCCATATAAGTAGTATATGGTGTGGGTCAGACATAGAATGTATTTTCGCAGAAGACCGATGAGCAAAGAACTGAAATGAAGCGCAATCGTTTGGAAAATGCATGAGCAATGGAATAAGAGAAGAAACAGTGAAGATTGAAACAATTGGTTGTTAATTTGCAAATTGACTGTTCATTGTTTGGTAATCAGAATTTATTGAGATAGTCTGTAATCTTTGCTTAAATACATTCGATTGTCCCCAACCGGTGTTTTGTTCGCTACAATATGTCACACTTCTGATTGGTTAATTATCTATATCCTTACTATGTTTAGTAGCTTTCCATAAATTTCTGAAAACCCAAAACCATCGAAAATGCTATAAAACCCTTATACTATCTGTACATAAAAGAATCCTGGAATACAACGTTCCTTCTATATTTTACACCTTCTCTCTCATGTTCAAGTTACTGTGTACATTTAGTCTGGATGATAATTCGAAAGATTTATCAGCAACAACTTGACTTTTATCTTACTATTCACTTTTGAACAATTCTCTTTCTACCACGAAATTACTTTTCTTGTGTCTCCTGTTACTTTTTTAATATTTATTTTCTCCTAATGTGCTGTAATATATAGTTATTGGGGGAGCTTAGAAACTGAATCTAGAGTTGAATTAGAAGACTTATAAAACTTAACTTTCATATAATCTTTAATAAAAAATGAGGGTATAGTAACAAAAGTGTTTAAAACAAAACAAATTGTGGATCGTCGATGCACACGGCTGAGGAGTCCCACAATAGAACGAAACGGCCGTCTAGGCTGTCCAGGTTTTCTACGGTGGTCTAGGTTAAATTGACTCATGATTTCAACTATATATAAAAATTATGTATATAGTAGATCCTTATTGAATAATATAATAAATATCAGAAGGAAAAATTTTGTGGAGATTTGTTTAGTAATTTCACATCTTTGAAATCATGAATCAATTGAAGTTAGACCACAAGGGAAAACCTGGAACCACTGGACGACCGTTTCTTCTTATTGTCGGACTTCTCAGCAGTGTGCATTCACGATCCCACCTCACGAGACTCGAACCCAGGACCTAGAAGTCTCGCGTCAGAGCACGTAACCTCTAGACCATTGAGCTGGCCAGCATCTAACGGTGTTAATGTTCAACTTCAACCAATTCACGAAATTGAGCAATCATTCACCAATGTCTACAGTGAGTTGATATCTCCCAACAGACCTGGTTGAACCCCACTGATTACTACTTCCCACTAGAACTCCAGGAAATCCCTTATGTAGCCAGTCACTAATGAGCATATGATCATTATCAGAAGGGTGGGGGTTTGTGGAGATTTTTTGTTAGTAATTTCATATAGTTGAAATCATGAATCAATTGAAGCTAGTTTACCATCATTGAAAACTTGGAAGCATGATGGTATCTAGGACAAATCGGCTGTCCAGTGCTTTCAGGTTTTCCATGATAGTGGTCTACCTTCAATTAACTCATGATTTCAATTTATAAAATATAATAAATAGCTTATTATATATTAGATCCAATTTATATACTTACATGATAATTCATTCATTTGATAACAGCGATTACATAATAAGATGAATACTATAACTATTATGAAGAGATCAATCATTCTATTATGTTGCCATGTGTACATATCCATTTGATTGTTACTATGTAAAAACCAAAAAAAATCACCTTCTACAATTCTTATTTATATCAAAATCATATCACAAATGAATATTTAGGTGATATGTACTTTTGATGAAAGTATTCAGCGTTTGGCTTTTTTTTTAAGGTTAATCGAAATAGTAACCAAAATGTTTAAATGGAAAATCAGTTTTTGGTTTTCTCTTTTTTGGTTTTTTTTTAGCTGAAACATTTACATTGATTGTTCTTTTTTTTATTTTTTCATCGTTGCCATGGTGATATATGGTATCAATGATGATAAAGTACATTTCGTGGATCGGTTGAAGTTAAACATTAGTAACGTTGGATGCTGGCTCAATGGTCTAAAGATTAAGCGCTCACGTGTGAGACTGACAGATCCTGATTTCGAATGTCGTGAGGCGGAATCGTGGATGTGCGCTGCTGAAGAGTCCCAAAGTAAGATTAAACGGCCATCCAGTGCTTCCAGGTTTTCCATGATGGTGGTCTAACTTCAAATGACTCATGAATTCAACTATAAAAGTACATTTTATTTTTGTGTTTAATGGATATTTTGTCAGGAAACAATTATATATAATTTTGTATATTTTTCATTAATTACATGGCAGCTATCAACGAATGATTGAAATATATCGGTGACATTATAATTTATGACCGAATCAATCAGGTATAAGGTAATAGGTTTCGAATTTTGGGCGGAAAATTCAATCATCTATTTGTTTAAAAAGGATGAATAGCAACTGGAAAGAACTGGAAAGGAAGGCTCAGGACAGAGTTGGATGGAGAATGTTGATGAGCGGCCTATGCTCCATCACGAGGGGTAACAGGCGTAAGCAAGTAATTTGTTTAAAGTAGAATTTTGGCAGTATAGCTGATTATAGTTCGTGATGAAAAGCCTTGAATCTCATTTCTAACTTTATTCATCAACTGTAAATCATATTGATTTATAATCCTTATTTGGTCCTAATTATCAGTTGGATACTCTCAAGGTTACTCTAGTTTCGCCCAAATGTTGTCCATAAATTAGAGTCTTATCAAATTATTTAAATGAGAGATTTTCAAAATAAGCTGATTTATATAAACTTGATAATGTTTACTTGAATCTTTCCATTTTTGTTTAGGACTGCAATTGATTAGTCTCTTATTGGTATATGTACATATTGTGAGGATTGCTTAATATTGTCTTAAGTCACAAGAATTGTAAGCAAAGATGGATGGTAATTAGCAGTGGGATCCAAGATGCGTGTTTCGTTCTATTTGGTACTCGTCAACCGGATGTACCTGCATCTCAGAGTTGATGTTCACTCTGAGAATTGAACCCAATATCATTCGTTTCAAAAACCATTACGCTATCCACTTAGCTACTGAGTCTCGATGGACACATGCTTGGTACTCGCCGTGGTTTTTAAATAGAACAGTACTGGGTTCGAATCCCATAGTAAACATCAACTCTGAAGTGCAAGTACATTCAGCTGATGAGTCTTAAATAGGACGAAACGTACATTCTGGATTCCACTACTAGCCACTAACCATGTTTGCTTATAAGCTGATTTGTGTTTAGAATGTTGTTGCTTAAAGGCATAGATGCTGAGTTTTTCAATTACTTCTTAGTACATAGGTTATCTACTTTTTAATATCAAACTAAGAATACGAGGCTAAAAGTATTGAAGAAGCTTTATTTCAAATGTTTGCTTATGTACTGAAAGAAGAGGTAGATTTATAAACGAATCCGTGACCTTAACAGTTAACGTATCTCAGTTTTCGTTCAATCGGTATTTCAGTTTGAGTTTCGTTTTGACATTTCTCACTAGGAATCTTTAGAATTCAAAGAAAATATGTTAACTTCAGATCTTTAGGTTAAAAATAGCTGTCCATCTTCTTAATTGAAAGACCGGCCCCTATTTGCTATGATATTTATCTTACACTAGAGTAGTCATTTCAGTCCTCCAACAGTCATGAAACACATATCCTTACAAGTATATGTATACGTGTAATACAAGGCGGACTGCTTGAATATCTGGGTCACCTGTTTCTGCCCTCTACGTATTTCAAACAAGTTATCTGTTTTTAGTTAGTTTTAACCGATCATTGTGTTGATTAGTTGTATAACCTATTCAGTTAATAAACTGTACAATCAGCAACAACATTATTCAGATGTCGATTGACTGGACGGCTAACATGTAACTAGCGATCATTTAATATTGATCGTCAGGATCGATCAAGAAGTATGAAACGGAAACTTGTTGAAATACTCTGTACTGAGTATTCTATATTGAATAAAGCTAATAATAGTAGTTATGATAATATATTTACTTGCTCAGAACCCCGACTGGAATGAATCTTCTAACATTCCATATAACTAATTTCCAGGTTAGTAAATCTTATAGAATCCTATTGTTGATTACTTGCTTGGTCATATGATTTATGATTAAACTATGCCATTTCTCTAAGGTTAATGAAGAATAATATTGAATACTTTTGTAACATGATTCCATTAAATAAATATTATAATCAGAAGAGGTTTTTTGAAGATTACAGTATTTTAATAGTTGAAATCATGTGTTAATTGAAGCTAGACCACCAAGGAAAACCTGGAAGCATTGGATGACCGTTTTGTTCTATTGTGGGACTCTTCAACAGTGCGCATCCACGATTTTGCCTCGTGAGATTTGAAGTTAGACATTAACACTATCGGATGCCGGCTCAGTAGTCTGTCGATTAAGTGCTCTGGTGCGGGACTGGTAGGTCCTGGATTCGGATCTTGTGAAGCGGGATCATGGATGCATAATGTTGAGTAGTCCCACAATAGGAAGAAACGGTCGTCCAGTGCTTCCAGATATTTCATGGTGGTCTAACTTCAATTGACTCATGATTTCAACTATGATAATAAATATTGGTTTAAAGTAGTTTTCTTAATTAGTTATCTGTAGATACTACTGATTCTACATGGGTCATTTTATTTATTTAAGCACATAAACATTGGTACAAAGGGGGCACCAGATACATGTGTATCACACAAATCAAATGAGATTTGTGATACTGAGGTCTGTGATACTGTCGAGGTGCCTAAACTGAAGCAGCTGCTTTTCTTAAGAGGTCACACTCGGAGACTGATCAGTGTGGAAATGAAGAAACAACGAAGTCTGAGACAATTGATTAAAATGTTTGCAAGTGTAATATTTACTGTATGATTATCAGACGTTCCTAAGAAATACATTAATTTCGTATTGAAATACATTTATTTGTCTCCGCTGATGTCCTCATTCACAATATTATTAATAGTAATTAAATTCACTTGGTATTGTTTGTTTGAATCTTCCCATTGATTCACAAGCATTATAAGCAAAAATGAATAGTGACTGGCAGTGGAATCTAGGACACGTGTTTCGTACTATTTGGGACTCGTCAGTCGGATGTACCTGCATCTCAGAGTTGTTGTTCACTCTGGGACTCGAACACATTACCTTTCGCTTCAAACGTCATCACGTTATCCACTCAGCTACTCAGTCCTGATAGCCTGATAGTCCTGATAGTAATTGTTTAAGGTATTTACATTTATATAATTTAATCTAATGTTCTAATGAAACGAATGTTTTCTTAGCACTTAGTTACAAATTCCATTTCTTATTAACTTAATTAGTTACTAAGGTCATTAAAGACTAAAGTTTTTCAGTGTAAATGTGTATAAGTGAATGAATGAGATGTTAACTATATCAAAGTATAATTTCATAGTTTCTATTTAAGTAAATTATCACTAAGAGTTAAAGTTATATTTAGTTATATAATATACCCCAGTGGGTCAGAGTAATTTTGCATTGCTTTTCAAGAGAACCAGACACCATCCAGACTTTCATGTGATAATTCAAACAGTACAGCTCAATCCCATTTAACAGGATAGCCAGACGCTGCCTTCTCACTTGATCCGATCAGTACAGCTCAATCCCGCCCACAGGAAAACCAGACACTATATGGGTTTCAACGCTACAATCTGAACAGTACATCTCAATCCTGTGGCACAACCACACAGGTACCAAGCACCCTGTTGGATCATTCGCACCATCCATATACACATTCACATCATATGTATAACCATTCCGATCAGTGATCGCGTACATTAATTATGAACAGCATAAACACGCCAAAGTTGACTCATTTCACTTACACAACAGTTAAACTCATTACTGTTAGCAATGTCGATATACCTTACAATGCTCCAATGACAATAGCCATTGAGAACACTGAAAAGCAACCACCATTATGAATGAAATCGGTTAATCAGCAAACCGACTTTTCACATGAACAATCAACAAAACTTGCCAAAGTAATGCGGAACCATCCACAATGTCAATGGAGAACCTTCAGTCTCACATAAAACCTTCAGCTCTACATGACAATATAGCTTATGGAGTTAAAGTGCCGTAGTCCATAAGAACACCAGTGAAGACAATCTTAGTAAAATCTAAGAATCAAACAGTAAATACCTAATGTGCAAAATATTGATCGAACTTCACTGTTTCTTTGCAAATCTCAATCAGTTATCTCAAACTTCAATGTTCCTTCGTCTTCATACCAATTGCTTCTTGTTTCTGTTCTTCCTTTCTGGATCTTCTCAATCTTCAACTACCAGATATTCTACTCCTGACTCGAGATATATACTACTTATGTCGATATAAGTATATCTCAACCTATTTGTCAATTAACATTCGAAACATGAAAAACACAAACAAATAAAGGTACAATAGTAAAAAGTATCAATAAAAATGTATGTTATTAAGTTTATTTTAGTATGTCATGATAACATCGGAATACAAATTAAGTTGGAATATAGGAAAGAAACAAGTAATTATTATATAATATACTATATCAGGAGGGGTTTTGTGAAGATTTAGTATTTTCATAATTGCAAGCGTGAGTCAATCAAGGAAAACCTGGAATCATTGGATGGCAGTTCTTATGTCACCCTTTGTGAGGTAGGGACTCACTGAAGACAATTGG